GCGGGGAAGTTTCTTCAAAAGGAGTTGTGAATTCTGTTTGTATTTAAAATAATGCTGCAAAAAAGTTTATCAAATTTAGTTTAAAGCTTATTTATGAACAAGTCAACTAATTAAAGTAACGCAAGACTTAAGACTTTTTCACCGGTTTTATCGATAACTATTCAAGTAAAAAAGACAAAGCTTTACCTGTTAAAACTTCCAAACCGAACTTCGTCACCTTCTTCGCGTATTTCGGAAATTACTTGCTTGATTAGTTGTGAAATTTTTTAGTTTGTTACCGCAGCAAACCGGGAAGGCATTTTGCTCGCAACCTACGCTAGTTTGGCGTCGCTCGCTCGGAGGAACTGGAGGTGAATCAGTGAATAGTGCAGGATATTTACTGATTGAGTAGCCAATCAGAGCGCTCGAAAAACACTATCCACTGTTTTAGTATATACTAAAAACAACAATTTACGTTTTCTGTCCCAAGCGCGATGTCAAGACGAATTGATATTGGTTGTTTTGCTAGCTGTTGTCGACTGTTTTCACCCTTGTTAAAGTTGCATTACAATACGTTCGAAACCTGAAAGTGCGAGTTCAGATGTTATAACAAGTATGGATTCGAAAATGCGGCGAAAGGCTAGATCAAAGTTTCGCGATAAAATTTGGGGAGCAAACGGAGTGTATTTATGGTGCGACTTCTCGAACCGGGGCACTTGGATAAAGAGTATCCAATCATAACGTTTTTATGAAAACAAAAGATTATCACTTTTTTTTTTTTTTGCAAACGCACCAATAAAAATTAAATGGTCAGCTAAGCAAGCGTTGGAAACTTTAAAAATGTTTGAACTTACCTGATCTCCCAGGAAACAGCCCGCCAATAGCCCGATTACAAAAAAAAAAAAAAAAAGAATAATAACTTGAAAATCCTGTGCACTCGCTTGGGGATGACTAGCCTGCGTTGCAGCCAGCCCAGCCCAACCATTAATATAGTCCGCTTGCGAATTAGTGTACAAAAGCTCGTTCTAGTATCCTGCAGAGTCCCAAGGACATATGTGAGAGTTTCTGATAGGCGGGTTTCTTGCGGGTATCTTATGCGCCTCTCGATCGGCCTAACTCTTACGTGTGCTCGACGGTTGAGCGCAGCGACATGTCAAAATTCACAGAAGGGAGTTGGCAAGGATCGCAGTACAGTAAACAATGAAAGAGCAGTACTAGCGTCAAAACAAAGTAGGAAATCATGATATTCACGGCCAAATATAGGAGAAAACCAAAGAGACTAAGGTTGTTAGCCATAATAAAAAAGCTTAAGGCTTCAACAGAGGTAAAAGAAACTGCATCCGTGATCAAATGCTGTCAGAAAACATTTGCCGAAACATAAACCACAGTAACTAATTACTCAATATAATGCACCGAACAGACCAGCTTCATAAGCTCTAAATGTGAGACTCAAAGAGGCAAAAAAAATTTGCTCAGTCAAAGTATAGAATACTCCATGCACTGCATAAACTACGCAAAAAGACAGCAAGAAAAACCTTTATTGTTCAAGCTGACTCTAAAGTTATGTTCCACAGTATCTCAATCTGAATAATCCGTCTCTTGTCACGAGCTATTAGTCATGTTTGGCCTGTCAACACTTAATTCACATCGGACTATAATCACAAACCGCGTAACTTGCAACTCTGCGGTATTGGAACACGATATTGTGCAATAATTCGCAGACGCTCTGTACTGCAGAAGGTTTAGAGCGTCTGCGACGCAGGTAAGGGGATGAACAGCTTCTTGTTTTTTGTTTGTTTGTTTTATGATCTTTTATCGCGATCATTAAGTTTTGAATTGGAAACAGATTATAACTGTTGGCAACTATGAAGCTGGCTATTTTCTTAGGTTGCGAGCACCAAATTTAAGAACATCCTCGTCAGTTTTTTTTTGGTCATTGCTATGGTCATACACTGTAATTGAGTAACAGCGACAGAAGCGAGTTATACACTTAGTTAGACTGCGAAAACAGCCCTACTTTCCTCGCTCCTAGCCTCCATTAGTTTTTATAAGCAGGCTAACACTAGTATTTCATAGAAAGATTGAAGGTATGATTATGAGAGTACCTCTGACACCTGCAAATTTAAGGATACTGCAACTACTGCAACATGAGTAACTCATACACTATACTGACTGTATTTAAAAGAGGATTATCCTAAAGCCCCGTGCAAACGGACGCAACTTTGTTGGCCAACAACTCCCAACATTGTTGGATGTTACATGTTGCGTCCGTTTGCACATCCTGTTGCATGTTGTTGGATGTTGTTGGATGTTGTTGCGCGTTGTTGCGCAAAGTTTGAAACCCGTCAAACTATTCAGCCAACAAATCCCAACATTTCTTTTGTTCCGTGATCGCCGAAGCGTAGCGCAACAATGTTGGTTCCGTTTGCACAGCTCTTCCAACATTGTTGGGGCCACCCACGCTCATTACGCATGGATTACAAAGATACACGATGCACGATGCACGATGCACGATGCACTGTATGTCCCAAACTTGTTGGGAGTTGTTGCGCCCGTTTGCACGCAGCCTAACCCTTGGTGTTTTATAAGTACATGTAGTTTTCACCTCCGCATTACCAGTTGTAATTATAGGGGCCATGTCGCGAGGATATTGCTGTTTTAGGTCAATTCTGTGCTGAAATAATTTCTTAGTGACCCATACACAATATGCTTATAGAGCGATAAAAAAAAAAAAAAAAAAAAAAAAAAAAAAAAAAAAACATCAAACAAATTTCATTAATTAACACATTGTAAAAAAAGAACTAATGGAAACAAAAAACATCATGACATTTAGCAACAACTAGACACGAAACTGATTCTCCCCACTTCCCCCCCTTTTCTGAGAGAAGAGAAACATGTTTGAGTGAAGTCAAACGTTTAGCAATAGACCTTTTGAATTCATCAGTTCAAGTATGTTATATGACAATCAACTTAAGCCAATAAAGTTTAAATCCTCTTTATTCCGAAAAGTTTTTCCGTGTGCGTCAGTAATCGAAGCTTACTTTAGCCACTTGTACACTGCATTTTAATTACATGTACATAAGTACAGTGTTTAATTGCAAAGCATATGATGGCGCATGCGCGGGCAGTACAATGTACATTACTGACAACTATAACCGAAATATTAACAAGGAATCCACCAGGAAATTGAGTAATTCTAATGTTCAGTGGACAAAAACCTTGTACCATTATAATTTAAATCATATTGCATTCTTTTTACATTTTTCAAGGGTTAAAAATGTGATTAGTCTTCTGTAAAAACACCAAAGAAAATTTCTGATGGGAGCCCGAGAAAAAGAATGACAAATTTCACAAAATTACATCTTACACATGAAATTTTCAGAATTTTACCTGCCTTTTCACAATTCTTGTTAAATTTGACATTCATTTTCTCGGACTCCCATGACAAATCTTTGTTGTTATATATTACAGACGACTAATCACATCTCTAGCCCTTAAAAAGTGTAAAAAAGACTGCGATATGGCCTAAAATATTCTGGTACATAGTTTTTGTCCACTGAAAATCAAAATTACTCAATTTCCTGGTGGATTTCGTCTTAATACTTAATAAGAGTTCTGTACAGTACCGTAAATGATCTCCAACCGCAAATGATCCCCAAAATGGACCGCAAATGATCCTCGACCGAAAGTGATCCCTAAAGTCGACCGCAAATGATCCCGTGAAAACTTGGCGAATGGAATGGAATGGATTTTATGGGACTGATTACAGAAAAGGACTGATTATAAAAAAAGGAACCTTTTGCTCTCGCCTTCTAAAGAAAAAGGGAAGGAGGACGCTACATCTCAGGTCAATTTATACAAGGCGAAAAAAGAAATGGCATAAATCTGAAAAGGATATGGTATTAACCGTATACTTCTTCATTTGTCAATTGCTTCAATTTTCTTTCAAAAATTTAAGACAGGCAGGACGTTACGCAGAAAAGACTCTATTATTTTAACGCCTAGAAGCTGAGAAATACAAAGCCGGGCACTCTCTACATAACAAGAGCTTTATTGACTTTACTGATCTTTTTGAAGGTGTGAAATTAATTTTCAGAATATTTAATTTTGATTTTTCTCCGAAGTGTTGATTTTACCGACTTGATAAACAGCAAGACATTTGTTTGTACCTTAGGTGGCCGTTACGATATAAGACGTGATTTAACACTGAAAAATGCCCCCGAACTTATCAATGTCCACAGGTTTCGGTTTACTTCCAAATAGCAACTTTCTTACGGCTCATGAACATGTTGCGAATAGTTATATTGACGCTTTTACGTATATTCATTTGTTGTGCCTTTGCTGGAGACAGTTACCAGGACTCTAAACCTGGTAATGAGAAACGCAAAAGCGAGGTAAGCGTTAGTTATCGCGTGTCAAAACATCGTAGGAAACCGTCACATTCACGGACGAGAAAGAAAACCGCTTATAATTATTCGGATCCAGGAGGCACTTTGGAAAAAATTAAACAACCTAAAACCCTTATTTAGCGGGAATGAAGAGCACTGCATTTCAAAAGAGGTCAAAGGAAATGCTCTTGCATCAAAGGGCAAATCATGCCGACCAGAAACAACAATAACCGCAGAAAATGCGTGTCATGACCTCTCAGTATGAAATAAGCGGCAAAAATCACATTTGCTCACTGTCAAAACGTTTTCTTCAGAGGTATAATCTACCCGCCAGAGCCGGAAAAATTCATTGGAACAAGCAGCATTTTAGCATGAGGTAAAAGTCGTGTGTTGCCTACCGACTTCGTTTTTACACTTGAATGATTTTTTTTTCATTTAGTTTTTATTCATAGATTTATTTGAGAAATAAAATTTAGCTTTTAATCTGACGTTTTGTAATTATAATAAAATCGACACGATGATCCGCCAACTAGAGTCCAGGTCATTCCTATTTTTCTTTCGGGATCACTTGCGATCGACTTTGGTGATCACTTGCGGTCGAGGATCATTTGCGGTCCATTTTGGGGATCATTTGCGGTCTCGGGATCATTTGCGGTACTGTACAGTTCAGATTTTCTTCTTGATATGTTGCGCTACGATGTTCCCACTTCGCGATAAAAAATAACAAAAAGTGCTCTGAAGCAGCAGTTCGCAACGTGAAGTGGCTTTTCTCTTTGCCCGTCCAAGCTGAAGTATAGGAGATTTCTTTCACTGCTTTACGGTTTTCTGTAAGTGCTTCTTAACAAAGTGAGGAATGCTATTATGCGAAAGGCGATAATCAAAGCCAACAGACCACAGATGTCAATAAGTAGATGATCCTGCCGAGCAAAAATAAAAACAAAAATAAAAAGTGGCAGAAATGTTAATTATTACGTGTATTATCGGAGAGGTTTTATGAGCGACATAGTTAAAGTTGACAACTGCTGCTCCACTTATTCAAGTTGAGCACAAATAGGAACATAACCACATTTGAGCCATTTCTTTTCAATTTTCACACCCTCAAAACATCTCTCCCATCAAACTGCTGACACATCCACCTTGCCATTGCAAAAAGCAATTTTTTAATCAAATAAAATAAAAAATAAAAGTGACATCAATTCATTATCGAGGTGTTTTTTTAACTTCATCGTTAAATGTGACACTGGCGCCTTTTCACAGCTTCAGAGGATAATTTCTTCCGATTCTTCTCATTTTGTCAAAGACTCTTCAAAAAAGTTTTCAAGTACTTTAGCAATTTATAGAAAGACCAGCCTGTTATAAACGATTGATAATTGATTTCTGATAGAGGCTGAGACGCGTCTAGGTCGATCGCGATCCTTTCGCTTCGACCTCAGACGTCTGAGAATCAGGATAGATTTCTTATGCCGTTTCTTAATAATTTTGGTAACACTTCCTATTCATGCTATTTTCAACCTAAGGTAGTTTAAGGCAGTTCCGCTCATCATGAACTTAAACTTTATCAATATTTACCTTATCCAGACCGCGGGACTCGATAGCCTCTTCCCCATTGCCAATACACGGCAGGTGTGATGCTTTGCCTTTAAAACTACATGCTACATAGCAAGAAAAAATCCTACCATGAAAGCAGACAATTTCCTTCTTTTACGCTGCAACTATTACACCTACCTCTTCATTTCTCTTCGTTTCTAACAGAAAATCATGTTGAGGCAAAAAACTCGAACTGAAAATCAAATTAATTTTGTAACGCGCGGAAGACCACCTAATAAAAGTCGAACGGATTTGAGTGCTACGTGGGTATATTAAACCAATGTATATGTACCTGTTTTAGGATGAATGTGAATCAGTTTATAGATGATCGAGCACAGCAAATTTATTTAAATAACACAGAAACTTTTTTCGCCCTTGGGAAATACCGACGCGAACTGGCATTGTGGAAGGAAATTTTCTGCTGGGGTTGTAAAAAAAGAGAAAAAGGGAATCGATATCGAAACTAGCAGCGAGTTACGATGTTCTTTAAATAAACAAGTAAATAAATAAATGAATGAATAACCTACTTATGTTTCCATAATTGTCCCACTGATTGATAGCCATTGCCTCAAATCCGTAGTTTCACCAGGAAAAAAATTGCACAATTCTTAACCACCATGGTAAAGTTCTGCATATATAATTGCCAATATGACATATTAAAAAAATATTTGACCCTAACCGATTGTTACATAAGATGATTTTACAAGTTACAAGTAACTATTATGAGTAAAATTATTTTGCAACGTGTAATTAAAAGTACGATAAATCAATCAAAAGGCTTGCAGCAAAATTAGCAGTGGAAACTAAGAGCAACGAAGTCACGGCAAAATTTGCAGGTATAAATCCTCCGTTACCTCAAATTAACAGGACGTAAAAGAGATAGACTCACGTGTTGTCCTTGAAGAATCCTCCCAGAAGTAAGAATGGTAGAACCATGGGCTCGATGATAGCAATAGATGCTGAGGAGGTTGGCGCAAAAGCCGAGATGACGTATGCTAAAAGAGATAAAAGATAGCTTTGCAGCAATAGGGCCTTCACAGGCGAGGTCAGTAACATTGTACAAAAACACTATGCTTAGGATACTTGAAAATGACCATTATAAATGATGTGAGCTCTGTATTTTCCTTATCAACTGACTTACCAACTTGAAAGGGCCTATTGCGACTAACCGCGTAAACTTGTTATATTGTTCTCTTCCATGCATCCAGTTATTAAATTCACGACGTAGAAATATTGATATCTCATGTCTTTACTAGAGAAATCTCCAGCAGAAATGTCTAGTAAAAAATATCTTAACGGTTAAGATTATTTTCTATATAGAGGCTGCTTTTTTTTACATGAAATTACTTAGCGTAAGCTAATTCCTTTTCTCCCAGTTGCCCAACACTGATTATAATTTCCTACTATATACTAACTTTAGTTTAACTGAACTTTTTTTGTTGGTAGGGATATTTGGTTGAGCCTTAAGTACGACACTGTGAAAGGTATAGGTCCGGATTAGCAAACTCCAGGACACTTTGCTGTTAACAATATGAAGTAAAATATATCGTAAACCCCAACAAACACTTTTTTCAGCCGCAAGAAATGTTTATAGCTTTTACATTTCATAGAGAAAACAGCAATGTTTCTACACCTATTACTGTATTTCCCTCAAGACCATAATGCGTAAAACATACTTACTGTAGGAAACAGAGGCCATACTGACCAAGACAAGTATTCCGTAAGCGAAGAGAAACCTTACAGGATCGGCCCTCAAACCTACAAATTGCAAATTTCGAATAAAGTGAACCTAGGAAGCTTAATAAAAGATGTCAAATAAAATAACGGTTCGAAGTCAATTTACTATACATTTTTTTTCTGAAGGTGGTGATTAATAAAGATCCCATATGCTGTAACTCTTGCATGGTTTTGTCCATGTTTTTAGGTTGGTTTTAGCCAATTTTTTTATTTTCTCTGCGAGACATCAACTTGACGCTTGGACTTTTGCCCCCCAGAAGACACGTGGTATGGCGTGATTCTGTGGGTGTTGAGAAGTTCTGGGTCAGGGCTTAAAATCAGAGTGCGCGGATATTTTTCATCAGAGTTTTCTCTGGTTGTTACGCCATACTGACGAGCCCCAAATAGGGCGAAACAGCTGTCTATGACTACAATCCCGAATAAGGCGAAACAGCTGTCTATGGCTACAATCCCGCTCTGTTTTGAGTTCTTTCGGTGTCGTGTTGATGTCTTGCAGAGTTAATTTTCACGTAGTACGATCATCATTGCAGTATTCTGCTTGGAGAGTTTCTTATGTCTAAAGACCAGCTGTTTAGCTCTTAAAGAAAAGGCAAACAAACCAACAACAATAACTTACAGCAAGTTAAAAGTGGCCGGGATAATTAGTGTCTAAAACATAATGAAGGGATTCTGTATCAACCTACCTGCCATCCAGTATTCAATAGCAATCATCAAAAGAGGGCCAAAAACAAATTGAGGTACCTATGAATTGTTAGATGGCCGGCATTAAAATCTTTACAAAGTACAGTAGCTTGCAACACAATGTAGAGAGTTTTCATATGATGTAACGGTGGCCATAAATTTGTGTTCCAAAAGGTCGTCACTTGATTCCATCCACCAAACTAACATCCTCCTCTCACAAGAGATTTTACTTTCCTTATCTGAAATTTCTTGATGAACTGTTCATAAAAGTCAAAGTGTCTTCAATTTTTAAGGAAAAAAACAATTCAGGATAGAATGAGTCGGATTCGAACTCGGAGCCTCGACACGCGTGCAAAACGTATGCGCATGCGCAAGGTCTCTATTTTCAATAATTAAAATTTGCAAAATCTTCCCTATTTAAATTGAAAAACACTTAGGAATGTTTGATATGTTTAATGGTTTGCAAACGGTTCTAGTATTAAGCACAACAAGAAATTACTTAAACTAAATTAACTAACTGGTAAAGTCGTCCAGTACAAGGTTTTTCCGTCCTTGTTTTTCCACTTGGCATGCATTGGTCGTTTTCGTTGTTCGCATTGACCGAGCTCAGCGACATGATGACCAAAACAGCCACAATGGCTACGGCGAATGCTACCAGAGCGAGCGTGGACTTTCAAACATGATTTTCGCCTTTGGTGCAAGGAGAAAAGTATGTGGTGCAAAAGAGAGAAACTAAAGAAATTAATAAACTTTGTGTTCGTGAAATTCTAAGCTTATCTTTTGTGTGTGGAGCTTACTTTTTTGAATTTCGCGGCCGGAATCTAGTTTATTTTGGTATCGGGTATAATTTCGATTGGGGGAGGCACATGCAAATTCGCGCCGGAAGCAGGGAAGGCACGCATGCGCACTGCGTTTTTCACGCGTGTCCGGAGCCTCCGATCTAGAGTGCATCACTCTAACCCCTACACCACCGAGGATTTGGTGACGAACACCAGTTTGATTTAAATATATAACCCTAAATCTTAAAAATACCAACAGGGCAGGATAGTGTGATTTTTGTTAATTGTTCATGTTTTCGAACTGTACGCTTTAAATTGGCCGAACAATTTAAGTACTGACAAAATCGCTTCCACGATTTCTAGTGATTTTTTTAAGCAACAGAAAACGTTTTCAGTGTTTGCATAGCAAGATATAAACAGGAGAGGGGTTGGGAGAATTCGAGACAGTTATGCAAATCCGAGACGAAGTCGAGGGTTTGCATAACTACTGTCGAGTGTTTATATCAGGCTATGTAAATACAGAAAAAAAGTTTTCTATTGCTTTTATAAATCAACTTTTCCGAGAAAAAACAAAAAAATTCTTTGTTATGGGACTGATTAAAAGAGAAATTCTTACAAGTGGCGAAGTCTTGTACACGTAGTCTTGCACGCGTAATCAGTTCTTGTCTTGCAAAAAAGCTGCTTTCCAAAATACGGATTTTTCTCGCTTAAAATGTCAGCTTAAGCGAAAAAAATTGACACAGCATGTTTGTAAAGATTTTCCAAGTTTCAGCAGACGAGGGAATGGGTAAATAAAGTAAACTTGTCCAGTTTTCAACTCAAAAACGTTTTCAAATTCGTGCTTGCGTGATTATCGCGAGTAAAGCAAAACATCTTGACGTCACAACCATTATTACATATACTCTCACGCAAACACGCCTCTCGGCCAATCAGAGCGCACGCACTATCCTAGTTATTTTTTGAAAAATAAGTGGTGTGTCTGGAACATATCTGACGCTTACCTGAGCAAAGGTTTTGCAAAGGAAGTAAATATCCGTTCGATACATCCCACTATGGTTATCTCTTAAAAATACTCTTCGCTCCTCTGGAAATGTCTGGTCAAAAGAAAAAACAAGTAGAGATATGCTGTATTGTGGTAATTCTAGAATAAAACACCTCATTGAGATTGTTTTAAGTTACTATGGGATGTACGTATTCCAAGTGATCCTTTTTCACATCTTAAAATACCTAATGCGAAATACAATGTTAACATACTTGTAAAGTATAAATTGCAAACAACGAAATCATTGAGGGAGCTCCTTACCGTCGAAATGTTTTGGTGACATATCTAGTCTCGTATAAAGAAAAAGTAGGGACAATGGTATAGCTTCATGTATAGCTGCAGTACATGTCTTTCTAAAAGACAATAAACTCCCCACGAGGTTAGACTGTACAGTCTAACCTCTCCTTACGGACACCTCTATGATACGGGCACCTCTCTATTTCGAACAGTTCGTTTGGTCCCAAAAATGCCAAAAATCATACATTCCCTACCTCTACAATACGGACACCTCTGTAAAACGGACAGTTGGTTCTGTCCCTTTGGTGTCCGTATTAAAGAAGTTTGACTGTACTTACAAATACGACTGAGTAGACCTGAATGTATGAAGTCGACGTAATAAGGTAGAACATTACACCAAAGACGTTATAAATGCCATCCTGACCATCGCATGATTGAAAGAAAAAGAGTCCAGTCATAAGTCCTGCAAACTTAAAATGGTTTAACAGTTACAGCCAGCCACATAAGAAATGATGCGTGGAAAACTTAGGCGAGATATCATTAGGATTAACTGAAGCCTGGTCTCTCTCCGTACTGACCGTACCTCTCTTAGGCAAACACTTCTCTTAGATAGACTGGTCTCAAAAAAAAAAGGGAATCTCTATTCACTTTCATATGTACATTTGTACTCAAGTCCAATTTGGGCAACGCTGGACAACGTCAATGTATAAAGGTGAAATCCTCGCCAAACTTGACGGCTCAAGGTTGCTTGTAAAATTTTTAACAAATCACTCCAAATGATTCTAAAATCCACCTGACTTTTGCTTCATTTTTGATTCGTCTTAGGGAGATTTTTGAAAGCATTATGTTAACAGCAGAAAAACCAATTCCTAACCCCTGTTGCAAAACAACTCTAAATAACTGCATACAGAAATCAAATAGAGAGCGAAGAACGGCTACTCTTCACGCGAAATATTCCTTTGTTATTTCAGGAAAGGATTTCTTTCTTGAGATACCTTCAAGTCATCAATAATATATAGATTTAGCCAGGGCTAAAAGCGAAACTCCCGATAATATTTATAGTTTGTTCAAACAAAATGTAAAATCGTGTAATGTTAAGCGGCGAAGGCAACGCCGGAGAATGGTGAAAAACAACAATAGGTCTAATTAGCAAAAAAGCAACTTTGCAACTGCAGCACACTTTTTTTGTACATTTCTTTGCCGTTGTTTTGCCAGACTACAAGGTGAAACTTGCAGAAACTTCTTAGTTACACGTTTTATTGAGGAAATGTCGTACGTGTTCTCGTTCATTTTTTTTTACTGCCGCTCATTTCCACCTTGCATTGGTGGCCGCTAACATTTCCCATTTTGTCACCTCCGCTAGAAAATTTTCATGTTGTTCTTCCAACAAAAAAATGTCTCATTTGTTTTTTATCTCTCGGTCTAGACCTCCAGCTCTGTCGCCCTTTTTCTCGTTGAGCTTCGCTGGCCTGCCGCCTACTTTTTCTTTTTCTCGGTCTTTCTCCTGCTCTATATTCCAAATTTGTGCACATGACAATTAATCTAAACTAAATACTTTAGACAACACGGATACAGAAACAGTTTCCGCTTTCCGTTTTCGTCTTTATTGACTCTTCAGTTGTCTTTGCTTTACAAGACGCCGGTAGCTATACGATTTCCTGCCAAAATAACCTCGAGTTACATTTAGGTTGCCATACCTGTTGATTGAGTTATTTTACATTGGTATGCCTGGGGTGCAGACTGACGATCGGGCTGGCGGTCGGTCGGTCGGTGTACAGTCACGTGATTACCAAATTTTCTCGGATGGGTAGATATCTTGATTTTCCTACCCATGGTGCTCCGCTGGCGCGCTTCGCGCGCGAGAGCTCCGCTATGATGGAATTTCTGCGCTCTTTTCTCAGACCTAATTTCTGGGGGAAACCAGTGGTGGTGTCCCGAAATTTCGGCTGTTTTCTCAAGCTAACATAGACTGCCTGTCATAATGGATGCATCTCAGTCTAGTTAGTTACTTGCAAGAGGTAAAAAGGGGAATTGCAAGCTACTAGCTCTGGTTTTTCTCAGACTAATCATTTCAAACACAAAATATAGTTTATGAACGCAGAGTACTTACTATACTCTGAAGAAATCTCATTTTGAAGACTGTAAAGTCACGGTTATTTGTAAGCCAGGATCGCCAGAGAACAGACCGAAATTGCTGGAACCAAGACACCTTGTACCTAGAAAAAATAAAATTATGAAAAGCTTGTATTATGGACGTTGTGAATATTACGTGTTGTCCGACTTTGTATTTGTAGTTTCTTTCTTTCTCAGACTACTGACTCCATCAGTGCTAAACTCCTTGTTATTTATATATGTTACTTTTCTTCCTAGTAAAGTATTGTTTTTCTTGTATTTATAGTTTAACTAAAATTAATAAGTCTACTAAAAAATAGCACAATATGTCCACCGTCGATTGTTGTTTTGTTATTGTCTGTATTAATGTAGCATTTTTTCTCACCCTTTAATTTAACTGAAAATGCATTAAGTACTTAAGATTAATTATTTTTATATGTGGATCAAATTGTTGGCTAGTTCGAGGTGCATGAATTTGACGAAATTTTATGACATAGCTCCCTAAAAAGACTTATAAAAACGCTTTGGGCGATTAACTGCAGGTGCATCGCAGATTTCAATTTAAAATTGCAGAATACACTCAGAATAGTTTGAGCAAAGACGTTTTTGAGCGGCTCACGTCAACCGGAAGTGGATATTTGCATTTGTGGGTAAATCGTCCCTATAAACGTATTTTAATAGTAATAAAAATTTGGTAGCGTTAAGACATGAAAGGGACGGCAACGAGAACTTCGCTTAAAAAGTGAATTTTCGTTCTTTTAGTCTTTACAGCGATTATTCCTACCCATTTACTTTTTCAAATGTAGGCGAACCCTCCTGAAGCTGAATTTCATGTGACCCAATCCAAGCTCAGAGAGAGAAATAAAATTTCGTCTTTGCTTGTTTACGTATACGTCCTCTTAAAAGGCGAAATTAGGCATTTTTACGTCGAAGTCGTGTAAAAACAGGAATAAATGTACTAAAAAGCGTTAAGCACGTGCAAAGTTGTTGTTTTCCTTATCAAACCTTTTGTTTTTTTGACGTTGTCGTCAGGTTGGATGTTAAAGTCCCTATTGCTTACACTCCCAGTTTAGCGGAATCTGAGACCTTCTGGTAAGGGGGTCCCCTCCTCATTAAGACCTTGTGGTGTTGGAGGGGTTGTCCTTGGTTCATAACGGGAGAGTGGATTTTATTTCTTAAATCCGCCCTCGAACTGAAAAGGAATGTTTGTGTAGTGTTCTACTTTACGCTTTAGAGATTTCTAAACAAAATATCCTGCAGGAAGAAGGATATGCAGTTTTAAACGTTTCTGGGAACGACTTACGGTGAGCGACGTACAGCATAGTCATTACCAGAAAACGAGTCCTAAAACAAACAAAAAATAAATCAATTAGTATAGCAGGAGGATTAGGCTTGACAGAAGTCTAGCAATGCTTATTAAACAACAGTTAGGATGACAAAACTGAACAAGGACTCTACATCTTTATTGTTTGTTTGTTTTTTCTAATCCTTTACGTATACCAAGAGTGGATAGAGTATACACACTAGAGAAAAGTAATAATGGTTGCTTCTTTTTGTTTGGCCTTTTTTTTATTAGGTCCAACTGTACAGTACCGCAAATGATCTCCAACCGCAAATGATCCCGAGACCGCATATGATCCCCAAAATGGACCGCAAATGATCGTCGACCAAAAGTGATCCCTAAAGTCGACCGCAAATGATCCCGTGAAAACTTGGGGAATGGAATGGAATGGATTCTATGGGACTGATTACAGAAAAGGACTGATTATAAAAAAGGAACCTTTTTCTCTCGCCTTCTAAAGAAAAAGGAAAGGAGGACGCTACATCTCAGGTCAATTTATACAAGACGAAAAAAGAAATGGAATAAATCTGAAAAGGATATGGTATTAACCGTATACTTCTTCATTTGTCAATTGCTTCAATTTTCTTTCAAAAATTTAAGGCAGGTAGGACGTTTTTACACTTGAATGATTTCTTTTCATTTAGTTTTTATTCATAGATTTATTTGAGAAATAAAATTTAGCTTTTAATCTGACGTTTTGTAATTATAATAAAATCGACACGATGATCCGCCAACTAGAGTCCAAGTCATTCCTATTTTTCTTTCTGGATCATTTGCGGTCGACTTTGGGGATCACTTGCGGTCGAGGATCATTTGCGGTCCATTTTGGGGATCATTTGCGGTCTCGGGATCATTTGCGGTTGGGGATCATTTGCGGTACTGTACGTCCTCTTCAGTGTTAAAGAGTGATGTACAATGACACAGTTTTTCTCCTTTTCAGCAACGAAAAAGTGGCAGCCAGAGTCACGCGTACGGTCAAACGTCAGATTCAAGTTGAGAAATTCTCAAAATAGCAAATGATCGATAAAAACAGCTCAAAACAATTCTTATGGATAAAACTGGCGTAAAGATACTGATTTCCTTGTACTTATAATGCAGTGGTTACCGTATTACGGCAAGTAAAGGGAGAACTTGGTCACGTGGTACAAATTCATGTTTCTGGTTTGCCGTGAATTAACGTAACTCTAAATCTCTCCATTACGGAATAAAATGTTTAGATACTGTTCACTATTGTCAATGCCATTGTTGTTTTTTTTTTTTTACCACAGAGTTTATTAATATACTTCTCCTGTCACAATTTTTGTTTTTGCAATTTTTGTTAGAGTCAGGCTTTGTGAGAGAAGACATGTAGCAAAAAAACCCCATGACCTTAGTCCTAAATATCTCGGCTTCTCCCTTTGTCGTGCATACATGTATGTGGCTAGATATCACTGGATTGCGTTTTGTATTATCTCAAAGTGTCAAACATTTTATTCTTTCTCGATATACCTCAAACCTAGTCTGCATACCCATTTCAGTCTTTTCCACCTTGGCTATTTACCGTCCACACAACAATTCCATATCTCTCTTTGAGAAAGTAACATTTTAGTTTCGGTGCTGCAAAACCAGTTTGGTCGGATTTATGTCTTACTCACCTGTAAAACTTTTTTAGCACGTTTTGTTTCGTTTGCGGCACTTTCTTGAGTGTACGCATCACAAATTGTCTGGAATTTAACCCAAAACAAAAAACAAACAAAAAAACAAACAAACAAAACAAAAAATGCTGGAGTGAACAAGTAACTTAGAAGATAGCTAATAATTATATGAACAACATGAGCTCCTACAGTTAATGTTCTTCATCTTGACGGTTTGGTTATTTTGCTTTAAAAAACAAATAGAAAGAAAGGTTGCGAGAAGTACTAGAGTACGTAGAAAATAGAAGCCACAGATACAACTTATGACCTTAATTTCTGTGCAGTTGAGAGAGCTTAAAAGTTTGCAATTGACAGAGCTTCCGGCCTTACAGTTTAGTATTTACAGATGATTGTGTTCGTTGTATTAAATCTCTCTAAGCATAAGTTTGACTGAATTTCACTTTGAATTTCTTTAAGCATTATCGATGGATTGACTACTAACATTAAAGACTTAAAAGAGCTCGAGAACATGGCCCAGGTACTGTGTAAAACCTAGATACCTTGGAGGCCGCCCCCTAAACTAGACTATGCCTCGGTTTTGTCAAAGATGAATGTTATTGGTCAAAGAATGAAAGATGGTAATATTTTAAGCTCGATGAAACAAATGTGAAGATGAAATAATCAGCATGCCACGAGCTTGGGACAAAGAAGAAATCTGAGTCCCCGACAGGATTTATGACCTCCCAAACACTGGGCGGGAGCTCCATCCACTGTTTATTCGATAAGCTAAGGATCGGAAAGATTCGTATCAGAGAGGCTGAATTTGTAAAGATACATTTACGGTGATAACTTTTAATTTCCTCGACAAGTTTACCTTATCAGGGTGAATTTTTCAAGAAACGTTGCCGCTTTAAGTGCGACGTGTGTCTTCTCAAATAATAATAGGATCTGAGCCACGGAATTTGTCAAAATTCAGACTGTGGGAACTGCCACCAAATTAAGTGAAAATTAAAAAGAAAAAAAAACCGCTCGAAACATTAAAGGAAGGTATAAATAACCCCGCAGATACAAAAGAAGGCATGGATTGACAAACTTTTGAAGAAGATTGAAACTGATTGCAGTTGCGGGTTTTGAAAGCTTGTTAGCCTAACACTTTTTCAAAGTTCATTTTTGTCATGTGTAACGTTTGTTACAATGCTTGGCAGACAAATTTGTTAGACATAAAGCGTGATTTTGTCATTCACCAAAATTTCATTCTCATTCACCAAAGTTTTATAGGAAGTAAGGACCTGTAACTGGCGCTATGAACAAAATGAAGTAGCCAGCCATGACACAGACTCTTAAAATGACTATACAATGTGTAAAAAAATCAGTGCTGTTCCAACCTTAACTCTCTTGCGGCAGTTTTCTTCATTGCCAGGCTTGATGGCCAGGGTACGGACAAAGAAGTCAGCTGGGTTAAAATTGTCAGGACAAGGAAAACCTAAGCTGTGAGTGAAAGCAATGTACAAGTTAAAAGAGCAATGCCATGAGATTTTGGCTTTGTAATGTGGTACCTAGGAATTAGAATATGAAGTCCAACGCAAAATGAAAGGAAAACTGGGTTTTCAAGAATAAAAAGTTCCTTTTTTTGTCTTTTTTTGGGGGGGGTTGTGTGCTTACACTGGCCAACCTATCAGCAGGCGATGGATAGGCCAATTCTTTTTCTGTAGTGCTCATAGCATATATTGTACAAAGTACCTTTAGTACTACAAACACTATAGACGTATAACGGAAAAAAAGATTAAAGTTTGCAATATTTGACTGTTAATTATAACAAAGTTGCCCGTTGATTTAAACAAAAAGTTCGTAATGAAGTCTAATTACGAACAATCAAGAACAAATTCACTTTGTTTATATTCCTTTTCTTCCAAAAGAATGCTACTAAAATAGCAAAAACAGGCATCTTACTCGCTTACTAAAACATACTTACATGAATATAAATTATTTTACTAATTTACCACGAGAATATAAGTTCTCTGTCAATGTGACACATTTAACCTGTATTCAATTTACATTTAAAAGTGACTATACGTTTTCGATATTCAACGAGAACAGTACGAAACTTAAACATGGCAAAACCCACGAATAAAACTTTTACGGGGATAACGTTCAACATATAAGAACTCTGTTTGTTGAGTACCATTTAAAATAGTCGATGGCTTTTTCCGTGGATCCCATGAAGGCAATTCTACCTTCAGCCAGCATCAAAATACTAAAATTAAAAAAAAAGAAAAAAAAAGAAAGAAAATAGTAAAACATTAGGAAGTGTGAAAGTGACACAATTAAGACCAAGTCAATAAACTTAAGTGGAATACAGACAGTCAGAATATCTTCTACTTACTTATGTAAGACACACACTCCTGTGTAAGCATACTTGATTTCCAGGGTAGAGAGGGGACACTCCTTATAATGGCGGGGATATAAGGGGAGTATCCACCCGAAAAGGGTGCATCAGTTTCGAGTTATACCAAAAGGTAGGGATTCGCAAGTTCACGTATATGAAAGGGTAGAAAGTACTTTAAAGGTCCTTTACTTTCAATGCTTCCAAACGACGCCCCTTCTTGCTATATAATTTCAATTTATTAACCGTCAAACTTATTAACATTAAGACTTTCGGTTTTAGCGATTTAGTCTACATTATTCAGTACATTGTTCCTTTTTATTAATAGAAGGTACACGAAATGGATACCCTTTTGGTCAAAAATGGTATTAAAAATAGCAAAGGTCTGAAACTTGGGGCGGAGCCTCTCTTAAAGAAAATTCGTTGACTTAATTAGTTATGATAACTTGGTATAAGTTATTGCATCTTGTCCTCTTTTTACATCTCGACGTATTGTACCTGTGAAACATGGCGTACACTTCAGAGGAAGGCTGATGAATGGTGCAAATGATTGTCCTTCCTTGATCAGCAAGCTGCTGCATTGTTGCAACCAAATTCTGCGCCATGAACGAATCAAGACCGGAAGTTAGTTCATCGGCGAACAGCAAGGGCGGGTCTGTAATGATCTGATGTACAAAATTAAAGATGAAGTTCCAAAAACCGTTCACATTTAGTGCTCGGCACATTGCCTGAGTGCCAATACCCAGTCGCCCCAGCGCCTACCAGTCCCTGGGCGCCTCCGCTAGATTCGCTACTGCTGAAATTTAAAGGCACCCAAAGACTCTAAGAGGAAGAAGTGCTGGCACAGTCTTACAGGACTCTTAGTTGTCTTGTCCGAACTAAATCAGCCAAACCGCCCCCAACACCTCCCCCAACCCCATCTCTCGAAAGTTAAATAGTCTACTCTTGAATTGAAACTATACTTGGTAAAGAAACTGATACCTCTGAAGCAAACGAGAGCCTTCTCTTTTCTCCGCCCGAAATTCCTTGCAGCCGTCCTGGTATTCCAATGAAAGTATCAGCGCATTTAGTCAGACCAAACTTTAAAAGAAGCACAAGTGAAACAAATTAGAACTCTGCATGAAACAACGACCCTGCTCCATCGATTGTCGTTGGCACTCCAAACGGTGGAATGGATGCGAAGTAGATTGAAAGAAGGCATCCCATGAGTGTGAAAGGGTAGGTAAGAGTGAGGCTCTTACGTCTTCTTAGGTTGTATTCTTGGTAGATACTTTTTGACTGATTTTTATGCTTGGACAAAATGACACTTTTGGATTACGTTCCTTGGCTGATGGAAACTAACAAATAGGCCACTTCCGAGTTCCAAAAACCCTCACTTTCAAAATGAGGCTAGGTACACAACCTTTCTTGAGAAAATGAGTTTTATTTGCATGAGAATGAAAAATGATTTCCCTATCAAAGGCTGAGCACCTACCCTCGTTTTGAAACCGAGGCCCAGGGGAACTCGGAAATGGCCTATTGGCCCTATTCGCACCCCATTGTCGTCATTACTATTCTTGAATATCCTCCCCGACAAAAGATACTTTTTGTGTTTTGTTACCTGAATTATCACTTCCTGGACTCGTGCAATCCGTTGTTCACGGGAAACATGTCCGCCCATACGCAGGGAAGCCTTCAGAAACAGAATGAATCAGAACATGAGTAAGGTGTCATCATTATAATTAGTACCGTCCTCATCGTAACCACCATCATCGTTTTTATCATCAGGATCATAATCATCATCATCATCACTGTTTTTATCATGACAAAATTAGTGAGCTTACGCAACAGGACGGCAAGAAGTTGGCGTGTGAAAAACCTCAAAGGGCTATTACATGCGTGTTTTGTCGTACTTTAATTTCCCCAGATGAAACGTTAAGGTGCAAGACCACTGCAAAAAAACCTTGTACGATCAAACTTGCTCAACGTTGGATCAAAACGATCGCGATCAGTCCTGAAATTAATAAAAAGTATAAATAAAATATACGAGGAAAAATAAGACGCGCTTTTCGTTAGACGCGTCCTAAATAAGACGCAAACCATCCCGTTTAAAGGGCACATTAAGACGCGACTTACAAAAGACGCGTCTTGTCGAAGAACAGGTGTGAGGGGCTGTTCTTAGATAAGACGCGTCTTCGATAAATTTCAAACGAAATGTGCCGTTTATACGGGATAGTTTGAGTCTTATTTAGGACGCGTCCTATGTAAGACGCGTCTATTTTTCCTCGTTTAAACGGTCAAAAAGAAAACCGCAAGGACTGATGAAACAACGTGAAAAGACTGCAGTTACGATAAGTACTTCGACTGGCCAATACCAGTCTTCATCAGGTTTATTAGGAAGATTACGAAATTACAGAAGTATACAGCATATATGCAGTACTACAATGGTCTTTTACGAAAAGATCTGTTTAAAGGAAAGTGAAACTTGGAGGAAATGTTTTTCAAACAAAATATTGTCACGCGGCATATCACACAATTTTGCCTTCCTCTTTTTTACCCCGTCCTGTTGCATACGTTTACTATCTTTATCACTGACACCATCATCAGGGATCTCCATTCCCACTCGGAAGCAACAAGTGGTTCTTGGCACTGCATAAGACGGAAGTGTTCTGTTGAGAACATTCATTCGAGAGCATTCAATCAATTCACAATAGCTTGTAAACTTGACATGATAAATGCAATATCTGCTGCAGATATTGCATTTATCATGTCAAGTTCAACGTCTGCCTGGTTACCAAGCCCCTTGGAGTGTTCTCCGCAGAAACAGAATGGCTGAATGTCTTCTTTTGCCTATTGCTTAAAAAATGTATAATAAAACAATTATTGAATTCGGTTTTCGCATGATATCATGAATTATCAAAACCTCGTGTCTGTATTATCTGCCGAAGCCGAAGGCTGAGGCAGATAACACAGACCTCGGTTTTGATAATTCATGATATCATGCTCAACCTCATCCAATAATTGTTTACTAGTTGTTTACAAGTTGTTCCTAATTCCTTTTATTATTAAGAGAACTATAATTCAAACAGTTGGAAGATGCCATCTTTGGATTTCAAAAGAAATCGTATAGCACTTTAAATCACTCACCTGAAAAGTAAGATGTTCCCTTACAGTTAAAGTTCCCACAAAAAGGTCTTCTTGTTGAATATATGCAGACATCGAAGTCATCTCCGATGTAATAGGACAATCATTCAACAACACGGTTCCCGTGACATCCATTTGGCCGATATTTCGTTGCGCCAACACGTTCATTAAGGTGGACTTCCCGGCACCACTAGAAGAGGAAGAAGAAGAAGAAGAAGAAGAAAAAGAGGGAAAAACATAGCAGTTACATCTTGCTTACAACTCGAATCACTGAAGCAGGTGACTGAAATACAAGATGACCTACTTTTAAGCGTTCATCGTTGAAAAAGCGCTAAATTACTTAAAAACGTCATTTGCAATCAGCTTTGAAAACTTTGAAATGTGTTCATTAGGTATATTTTTTGCTGACCGGATCTGCTGTAGATCGTATCCTTTTTGTTTGCGATCCTTTGCAGTTAATGTTCAGTTGTTACTTAAAATACTCACCTCGCCCCCATGACTGCTAATAAACTGCCAGCGTCAATCCTTCCACTCACTGTAATTAAAAGAAAGATAATAATTATTATCTCCTGCACCAGTCATACATTTCTGCTCCCTCCCCCCTCAAAAAAAGAAGAGCATTACTAAATCACTGACTGGAGTCATGACACATGTAGTTATGGGGTAAACATGTCGGGTGCAGACGTCAGACGATACTTTACCATTTGAAAGTGACACTCTAGTTGAACCTAATTTTTGTTTTACTATCGATTATACATAAGGAAGCACTTCGTCGATAAAGATGCCACATCAAGATTTTAACTAAGAATTTAGCATGCGCCGCGAATCTTCATCGAGTAAATAAGGTTTCCCGCTCACTGTCATTTTTTAGTAAAGCATTTTTACCCATTACGTTTTACTTTTACCACGTTTCTTTGTTACCTTTTAATGTTTTATTTTGTCGCCTTACGCTGTTAAGTCTGGTGTAGTTTTATCATTTATATGATAATGATGTCGTTGCCACATCGAAACTTTGTTTAAATCTTTTTTCGTTAAGTGTGTAACCGTGATGTAACGAAATTAAGATTTCATTCGTCGGAAGTAGAAATTTAATATACCCTCTAACATCTCTAAGAGCAGACCTGAACCCTCTTAGATAAACTTCCTTTTCGGCTGAATTGCAAACTTTCCCTTTCTAGTCGATCAAATATTGCTTCGGATACGAACTTTTTTTTTTCAACCAAAGCAGAACTGGGCCGTGTCGAGACAAATTTTAAAGAAGAATATATATTTTTACAATTTTACCATGAAGACTTCGTTCATTCTTATCGTGGTCTAGAGAACACAAACAAAGGATATGAACAAATATGCATATTCATTACGTTCGTTTGTTTCCTTTAGGCATGGCGATAAATTTCGTAAAAGGAAAATTTTGAATTAAATTTGAACATTGAAATGAGCCTATTCGTTCTTTGCAAAGACAAGCTTAAATAGAAAGATAAAAGAGGTACTTACGGTTGTACAAGACTTGCTTCCTTGTCGGTTTTTCTTGTTCTTCAGTTATTAAATGCAAACGTTTCCTTAGCGAAGGCTGGGGAACTTTGACAAATACATCGAGGTTTTCCCATAAAATAGAGACCTTCTCTCGAGTGTATTCAAAGTTATTTAGCGGGCTGCGATTATAATCTCTGTTGCTTGTTGCGTTACTGGTTAAAACTCAATCATAAAGCATGTTGTTCAGACTCTTCGGACTGTGTTCGACTGGTGCACGATATACCAAAGTAAATAGCAATTCTCAAGTTACGTCACAAAGAACACAACAATGATCCCTAGCCCTTACACAATAACACAATGAACTTCACACAATGGAAAGAGACAATATCGCATATATTGACTTGGTATATCAAGCATCACCCCTGTATTCACTGGCCACTTGAATATTCACGAGACGAAGGCTATTCCCCGTCTCCCCTCGGACCCTGCGGAGTTACGTAAAGAGGCGATTTTTATGTCACATAGTTTTCACAAGTGACTTATGCGCCAAATATGAATAAAAAACAGGAGAAGAGAAAGCTCTCTTGTGAAAAATGAAAAATTAAAGCAATTTGCTGCCGACAACCTGATTTCGAAAATTGCAAAAGATAATCAAATTCCTACTGTAGCAATAGAACGATAGACGATTACCAGAAAGAAGAAAATTATATATGTAAGGGGAGCAGGGGGTGGTGGTGGTTGGGGGAAGGGAGGGGGGATGGGGGGGTTTGGGTTTGCGAGTGAAAGTGCGGCAGATGAGATGATTTTAAAAGTGATCATAAACCTTACTCCATCTGATAGGACGACACTTAAGGTCCAAGGTCCTCTTAAAGATAGGCAGAAATAAGGTTATATATGGTTTTTGACCGTATGTTTTTGAGGGCGCAAGAAAATGTATACAACTGCCCAATTTTTAGTACTTTAGTACTTCGTTTTTTAAGGCCTTATCTACTGAAAAACAATTAAATTAAACAATGCTCTCTTATGGTTTTACTTATACAGTCAGTTTCGTTGTCTTTACAGTCTTTTGCAGTAGGGATTTGGCAATCACACCCTCTGCAACAGTACATCCCCCGGTTTGAACGTACACATGAAGGAACACGCAAATCATAATTTGAGGAATATCGAACAAAAGAGGCAAGGCTGATTTTACAGTCAGGAAAATATAATTTTTGTCACCATTACTTCGGAAGGCACGGCTTTCCTTCTTCAGTGTCTCACATACAACTATAAGGTTAAGCTAAGACGTTACAATTTGAGATATAGAAAAGCGTGCAATATGATATACTATAATAAAACCTGAAAATTTAAATAAGAAAAAAGTGAACGTTAAAAGTATATGAAAACAAAACCGGTACGTGTAGTGATATGAAAGAAACTTGAAATGTAAAAATAGTATAAATAAATACAAATGGAAGAAGTAAGGAATGCACTACATTTCGTCTTTCTTATTAATACCTAATGGTTTAAGAGTTTTGCCTCTTTCGATGAGGTATGCTTCTTTAGCTTTTCGTACACTGTCTCTATTAGATTTAATGAGTTCTAGTGAAACAAGTGTAATGTCTTTAGCGGAGTGATCGTTAGTAAGAAAATGTTCTGAGACAGTGTTGGGTTTGGAGATATTAGATGGGTTGACACCTGGTCTGCGGTGTTCGTTGAAACGGTCTTTAACGATGTACTGTTTAGGGCAGTGGTTGCATTGTACCATGTGAATGACGTTTTAAGAGTTACAGTCGATGTGATGAGTGATAGGTCGATCTGGTTTCATCTGTAGAGTGAAATGTGTATGTCTAAGCTTGACCTTATCACTGTATGTGAGACCCTGAAGAAGGAAGGCCGTGCCTTCAGAGATATTGGTAACCAAAAATATATACTCCCTACTGTAAAACCAACCTTGCTTTTTTTTTTGTTCGATATTTCTACTTAGAGCTGAGTAGATCCTAAATTAGGATCCAGGCCTTCCTTTTTGTAACGTTGGTCCTTGCTTCCAAAATTGAAATTATAAGGAACAAACACGGTTAGAGGGAGGGGAGTTGGTCAAAAATCGTTCCACCCCTCCTTTAGGGTAGCTGGATAAGAAGCGAAACAGCATAAAAGACAAATTGGAGATTTATCTATTCCTGTTAGCATCGACATTGTTATTATTACCGTAACTGTAATTAACTTTGCCAAATAAATTTATTTATCGCCTGTTTTCTCCCACAGCAGGTAGTCAGCAGAAAGGTGGTGCGAAAATTACTGATTAGTTTTGTAAACTTGCATTAAAATTTTAAACTCTTTACGGGAGTCTGAGATCGCTCGCCCAAGTTAAAAACTTGTTATTTAAAAAAGTTAACAAGTTATTCCTAAAAAGAGCTGAAATCACTTGCGTCTTTTCTGACCAACCTTTTACTGTCCCCTTGACGATCAAAACCACCGGAAAAACAATTCTGCCTTTTGATTGAATCGGTATAAACAAATTATGTCAGCTTTTCTTTTCACAAATTACGAAAAAGTTCTTACAATTGCGACAGGTAGTACAAATTACGACAAAATTATTACAAATTAGGACAGCAATTTCAAATTACGACAAAACAATCAGTTCAAAGTACAATTTTAAAAAGTTGCAGTTCAATGAAAACCTATCTATTCAAAATAGCTCACATGTGTAGTTAAATATAGAATATTTAAATACCTTTTCTTGCTTCTAACAAAGTCAACTTTCCAAAGCATACAATGGAAGCTAGCTATTGCAGAGCGCTGTTTGGGGAAAAGCCCTAGGTAGGTCAGTGTAGAGAAGCAGTGTCTAAAATCAGCTTCTAAAGACCAAGGGCAAATAACGAGCCTGATCATCCCCCCAACCCACCCAACCTTAACCAAACAACTCTTAAGACTCGTCTTTGGTCGCGTCTTCACTCAGGCTAAAAGTAAATGGGCGTTTTTAGACCAAGGACATGGCTTGTGTGTCAAACACAAGTGTTAAATTTTTGGTTAGTTGTTATAGAGAGCGAGATGGGAACGTGCGAAGGGGAGAGGGGGCATCCTCCCCTTTTCTCCCGTCATGCGCAAACGTCGTAGAAATCTCCCTTCGCCCTAAAAAAAAAAAGTCGGCGCCTGCTGAATGCAGGCTACAAAGGACAGGGAAATAATGACAAAACATAATTACATTAATATCATAGGTGACGAATTACTCCTTAATTTTGGCGCGAAATTTCAGCGTTAATTTGTAATCTCACATCTGAAATTACAAAATTGCCATGGCAACCCTTCCGTACATCTCAATGTCAAGATGGCGAAGAAGTTTTAAAATGCCGTGAATGAAGATGTCAGGGCACAAAAAGACGCTTTAGAAAACCTGAACACACAAGAGAACATCAAGAAGGATTCTAACAGGTATTTTGTCGAAAACGTCTGAAACATTCTGAACTTTATAAGCCAAATTTAAGGTCTAAACAATTTGAGAGTGGAGTTCTCGATCGATACGATCCAGGATAAACATGATCCAAGATTGCTAACGTAATTCGTCACCCATGATATTAATAGGTAATCAAATGGTATACTCGTGAAATTAGGGAATAATTTCATCTGCGTTTTGTCCAAATCCTTATAATTTCCCTCGCCTAAAGGCTCGGGAAATTATAAGGATTTGGACAAAACGCGCGTGGAATTATTCCCTAATTTCACTCGTCACCATTTGATTACACATACTTATGCAATATAACAATGTTAATGAGCTAAAGTATGTCTCTAAGCAATCTGATTGGTTCGCTATCTCGGACTATTCAACAATATTCACCTCCTAGCGAGTGGGTAATGTGTGAGCGCGGTGTTTTTCCCATTTTTTTGGGAGAACGATCTTTTAAACGTCGACAAAATCCTAGGGCTGACTTTTTTGGGGCAAGAAAAGACTTGGAAGGATTCAATACGGCGTTGTTCAATTTACTGTAGCTGAGTTTCGTGCTCGATGGATTGTTCACAACTCCCGTGTATTCGCGTAGAAGAAGTCTTTTCGTGAACTCAGCGTTTTCTAACAAGAAAATTTTGGCTCAAAAATCGAAGTTTATTTATGACAAACAAATTTAAAAGGAAATGTTTGCAGAAATTCTACGTTTCAAGAAAACAGGAAAATGAATGAAACAGGAAGACGACGTCTTACATCGAGCAACCGAGTCGCCATTTTTGTCAGCACTTCATGCGAAGAACGACACAACAAACCCTTTTGGCTATAAACTTTGCGAGTCAACAGAAAACAACAAAGCTCTACTTTTCTTCTCAGGTAAGGAAACAGTTCAAACTTTTAGCGGCTCCATTTAAGCCATTACGCTGTTGTTTGCGAAATGATAAACTTGTGAATTGCCATGTTTGAAAATTCTGCAAAGATCTATTTTTAAACGTACGCGTGTTTTGATCTGTCAATCAAATCGTACTTTTTAATGGTTTCCTCTCTGATTTTCTTGAGATCACTTCGTGTGTATACACTAAAACAATTATTCTTTTCAATCTCGGTGAATAGTGGCTTTGGGAATATTTAACCAATATTCACCTCGATTTCAAAGACCTCTCTGAATGTGTCGCGGAAAGCGCTCGGTTAGAAGTTTGGTTGAACTCCAACCGAAGAACAATCCCGATTTTTTTCTTTAAATTCACTTAACGGCTACAATACCCGCCAACGCAAGTGCCGTACCTAATTTAAGAAATGAAGCATTTATTATTCTTTAATTATTTTTGTAATTTATAAGCAATTAGAAGCCTATTCTTCTGTCCAGAAAAGTGGAAACAGAAAGATTATTCGAACAATCCTATTCTTACGGCTAAATACACTTTCTTGATCATAGTGATCACACATTTTGAAATTTTACATATAAGGAGATTCAAGTAGCCGAAGAACGCTGGACGAGACAAAGCTGAAATGAAAAGAGGACTAAATCTGATTCAATGTTAGTTACCGACTTTTTCTTTCTTTTTTCTTTCTTTCTTTTGACATAAGCAATCAGGGCCACTGTTTTGTCACGCAATTTGGAAAAACCACAAAAAATGTATGGCACACGAAAACGTCATGAGGTTGTTGAAATGTATTTACTTTTATTGTTTGAATCCTTAAACACTTCTTTTGTCTGAAAGGAGGGGACGTCCCATTTTTCATTCAAAGTTAATTTTAGGTAAACTTCGTAAGTAAACTTCTTAAAAGAAAACTTTTATTTATCTCATACATATCTAAATGAAAGTAACACCATCGCAGTTGTAATATGTATTTAAACAATTCCACCCTTCTCCCCCCAACAAAAAAACAGGGATTCAACTGGATTTTAACCCCTTGGCTTTGCATTAGCGTAGCTAAGCAGTGCTCTACCAACTAAGCGATGAAGAACCATATAATAATATATAGATTTAGCCAGGGCGGAAAGCGAGGCTCCCATTAATAAATTTATAATTTAAATGAAACAATAAACTTGTATTTCACGTTAACGTTAGAGCACATTCGTGTGACTTTTCAGGGAAAGGCTAAGTGATTTTACAAAAAATAATTTGCCAGCAGCCCAAGAGTGAACCAAATCTCACCTCGAGTTGATAGCCTCAAAAGTATACCCAAAAACTTGCAATAATCTTCGATCACATTTATTACGAGCCATAATGGCTCTTGATTGCCGTAGATTAATTAGGCCTGGAAAAAAAATTCCGGCCGAATTTTTGCGTTCGACAAGTTTACTTTACAAAATCTTGCCAACAAATCTGGGTGCGACTGTAAACCAACCTTTTATATCATATATACATCACATCTGAGGTGAAACAGTACTATGAGGCACTGTTTTTATCATACAGACCTCGGACAACAGAATGCAGTATTTCACAATATTGCGATACAAATTGCTATCATTCAATATTCAGGACGATCGCAGCACGCGTGGGCTTAAGCTAAACCGTTAAAAAAAATTTTCAAAATCATCTATACGGCCAGCCGGTTCTGACTTTTGCAATGCTAGCAGTGGCGAGTGTTTGAATGAACACTAACAGAGTTACGCTCCAACATAATAAAGAATTTGTTATGTTTATTTTTATTTTAAAACGGTTTAACGCGCGGCATTTTGAGTACTCCGGGAAGCGTTGTTCACTGAACGACTGAAAACAATCGGCACAGTGATTAAAATTACAAGAGAGAGTACTAACAATCAATAAAAGAAATATAATTCGGTGAAACATATACAAAGAAGACAATTTTCATTCAGGAAGACAAGTATTAAAGTGTCTCAAAAAATTCTGACTCTTCGTGCTTAAAGCTGAAGTTTATGTTTGAAGCCAGCTTTCCGGTGTTTCCTTTTTTCAAAGACGACCTCGAGGCAAGGAAATCGCTCAAACCTTTCTTTTACAGCCAGAATTATAACTAAATATTCCTTGAAACGTTTTCTTTCTATTTACGGTGAGAAATTCAAAGATGTGTAAGCATATAACAAACCTGATACTCGGTCAGATCATTGTCTCAAATCTTACAAACGTGCGTAAACAAAATAGCCGCATAAACTACGCTCGACTTCATTAAATTAGGAATAAAAACAAACATCAAATACAATAATTACTTAGGCTTACCACTCGAGATGCAGCTCCTGAAAGGTATCAAGTAAGGCCAGTATCGCTTCAGACTTTGCAACCCTCTTACGCATTAAGCAAGGTGAAAACGAAAACGATGCCATCCGAAATCGGATTTCCGACGTTGACTCAACCAAAAACCCAATAAACAAACTACCCATGAATAACAGAAGAATCTGAGTTTCATTTTGTGCATCCAGTGGAAAAAGAAAGTTAAAAACATCACAAGTTGAAACAACACTCTGTCAGCTTCAGCTGTCAAAGTAAACAAGATTCAAGATGTTGCATAAATTTTCCGCATGAACTCATGAACTGTCAAATTTTGACCAATTAGAGCATGAAAATTGGACGAAGAGCGTGACCAACGCGTGACCTTGGTGAGAAAAGTCAAAAGCAACTGGCATGTCTTCCCTGCCTGTAAAAACTGACTGAATCTTAGCTTCCGAGGTCAGTTTGAAATCAAAATTTTAATTGTGCGGCACATATAAAACGCAACATATTTCATATGAATTTTAAAAAAATTAAACTTGAGCCTGCGATCATTTGAAAACCAGTACCTTGTCAGCGGATAACTTCAAAAATACTTGACCTCGATGGGTCGACACCTGAGCCCGCGATACAGTCAAGTGATACTGGTCAGCGGATAACTTGTTTTGACAGCTGTCAATTGATCACAGCATTGATGTCCAATATGTGTGCATTATCAGTTTTCCTGTGCTCCGATCCCAAACTAGCTCGAAAGTATGAGACTGAACATTGATCACGATCTAGTAAAATAATTAACTGGTCAGCAGACAGCTTCTAAATAAATCACGTCACCTCAATGAGTTGACACATGAGCCCGCGATATGGCCATGGGATACTGGTCAGTGGCTATCCTGTTTTGACAGCTGTCAATTGACCATATTGTGAATGTCCAATGTAAAAGATGTGGACTTAGCAACACACGCCTGAGACCCCTCCCTTCCTTTTGATAGTCTCCCTCACCTCACCCGTACAATCCGTAGACGCGTACGTACGTACGTACGCTCGGTCAACCACGTGACAACCAGACGAAAAGAGGTTGACCATAATCTATGAGTATGGGGCTCTGTCCAACGCACGCTTCGCGCGCGCGTGAGCCCCGCTAAAAGCAGGTCACTTTTTTGAAAACCAAAAAATGGTCGATCTCAAGATATTAGTAAAAGTTAAGCTGCTACCGTACACGGCTTAGCGCTTTATTTGCACCCAGAACTTTTCAAATATAACAAAACAAATTACGCAAGAAGGCATCGTGATACAGACCTTTAAACATGCATGTCTGAACATACTTTTCTGAGGAAAAACCACAGCGGCAAAAAAAAACAAACAAACAGGAAAAATTGAGACTCCTTTATTAGGACTGGGGCCTAGATACTTCTTCAATCATTATCCGGGACACTGAGTTCCACCCAGTGTAAGCATCACCCAGGGTGTAGCCACTACACTGTCCTACCCACAATTCCACTCTAACTGCACCTTGTGGGATATTCTCACAGTACCCCTCAAATGATCGATGATAGTGCAGGTCAGGAATGCTCCCAGATGGCCAGAAGCTGTACACGACTGCCTCAATCGTCATTGGTCCACTACATTCGTTTCCGTTAAACTTGAAATACCAGCGGCTACACTTGCGATGACTATATAGACGTAAAGTTCCCTGGAATGAGACTCTGAGCGCTGAATTAGATTGCTGCTTTTTGAAAGAACAGTCCTGTTTTAGAATCAAATCAAAAGTAGAAAGTAATGTTACCAAACTCTTGTAGTCATACATTACTTCATGGAAAGTGGGCCCGGGTGAGATTTTTAGTTTGTGTAAGGCAGAACAAGTTCGCAATTGCGGAGTCACTGGAAAATAATAAGTAAGTTAATTGAAACAACCAGACAGTATGTGGACTTACTTGCTGATCTCGAAACGCAATTATCGCGTAACTGAGCGCAGCGTGAGTAGCATGGGGCACGAGAGAGCTGACTGGGGAAAGGGAAATTTACCCTCCTTACGGCCTATTATATTTTTCTTGCTTTAATCTTATAAAACGCGTTAAAGCTATTTTCCAATTAGTAAACATAGACACCGCCTATTAATCATTACTTCATATGATATTTATTATCTTGTAAAATCTTTGTTTACCTTAATTTTTCCGTTATCAGCATCACTTGTTGATTTCCAAACACATTGTTTCCAGTTGGTTTGTGGTACTACACTTGCTTGACTTGCTTTGGGGCTTTCTCCTTTCTCTCCTTTGTCTCCTTTTCTTCCTTGATTTCCCACAATACCTTGCTGTCCTTTTATTCCCACAAATCCCCGCTCACCTTTCATTCCCTTAATTCCTGTCGATCCGCTCTTCCCAGGAGGCCCTTCCCGTCCTCTGTCTCCTCTTGGACCCGGCATTCCTTGCGAGCCCTGGGGCCCTTGCGGCCCGGGAGCGCCCGGCATTCCCGGCATGCCATTTGATCCTGGAATGCCAGGAAAACCATGACCCAGTATAGATTTCTGAAATGATAAACTTTAATTAGTATGTGTAATCAAATGGTGGCGAGTGAAATTAGAGAAGAATATCACACGTGTTTTGTCTGAATCCCATTCTCGGGCCTTTTTACCTATCAATATTATGGGTGACGAATTACGTTGGCAATCGAGGATTTTGGACAAGTTTATCCTTGTTCGTATCAATCTAGAACGCCACTTCTCAAACGTTTAGAGCTTAAATTTGGGTTAAATTGAGAATTTTCAGAAATTTTTTGACAAAATACCTGTTACAACGCTTCTTGATGTGCTCTTTCGTGCGTTAAGTTTTTCTAAAGCGTCTTTTAATGCCCTGATATCTTCATTTATAAGATTTTTAAACTTCGTCGCTATCTTGGCACTGAGATATACGGAAGCTTGCCATGGAATTTTGTAATTTCATCGGCGTTAATTCATACCATTCAAAAAAAAGGTGACTAACCGGTCCCTACCCCTCTGGTCGTGACCACAGGCTTTGAGTTCACTTTTGTGCTTTTCAAAGCGGTTTTTAAACGTGGAGAGGCAGGTTTTCATGCAAGTCATTTACCTGAGGAATTGAGCAGTACATTTCCGTTATTGTCAGGTTTATTATGTAACCATTGTTCGGACAAGCTTTTTCTAGTTGTTAAGGTGCCAATTGACGCCAAAGAGTAAGCGAATACGATTTGTGGTTGAATTAAAAGCAGCAGTGCTGCTGTTCAAAGTTCAATTCATGATTTCGACCGCGTTTACTGAAAATTTGTTATAGTACCGTAAATTTTCGAAAGTGACGTCCCTCGCTACTTTTGGATTTAGCAGCCCTTTCCTATCGCTGCTTTCGGAAGCTCGCTACTTTCGGGTAGCTAATCCGTGTACCATACTTAGGCCGTACGAAGTTACGGCAATAGTATCGCCACAAATGTGAAAACATCTACACATGCATTTTATTCGGAGAACTTATTTCATGTTATTGCCACACTTTTTATCTTTTAAAAAATTATTTCATCTTATTTCTTTTAAATAAAAGTTCGAAAGAACTGTTTCAAAGATGAAAGGAAGAAAAAAAAAAGTAATGCACCTTTGGAATTTCATTGTGTTACATTTAGAGTTTCATTGACATGTACGTAAAGGAATCTCAAAGATCAATATAACCGTTCAAAATAAACCGCGGATCAGTTTGATAAAGCTTTTTCTATCTATAGTGTCCGTTAGTTCTAGCAAAAAGGAAAATATCTTCTGAAGTCGTTACTTTCGGAAGGCCGTTATTTTCTGAAGATTAATTTAACTTCAAAAACCGTGGACGAAGATCCTGCTAGTTGTAAACGTTGCATCTCTAGGAAAGAGATCTAATTAGCCAAAATATAAAGACCCAAGAACGAGAAGTCCAAAGACTACTGCGAAGCTGATTTAAAACAACGTGTATTGTTTTTTTATAACAATATTTATTTATTTACTGAGAGTCGCTACTTTTGGCCTTTGCTAACTTTTGCTTTGCTAATCCAGGATTAAACAACTTTTTTCTATTTTTGTATTTACCTTCCTATGCTTTACCTAGAGTAAAATTCTATGTTATCATCACTGAATCTCGGAGTAAAGACACCAAAGTATGTTGTAAGCTCGAGTAACATGTTCTTAGACAAGAAAACCTACAATCTTGGACAAAACTGTTGAGAAAGTTGCATATTTGCGGGCATTTTTTCTGAACTTCGTAGCCGACCGATTCTTCCCTCCCCACCTCCCCCTGGAAGCAATGTTGTTGGGTCTTCTAAAGAAAGCCAGATCCCTAAGCATTTCTAGGAAGCAACTTTGAATTGGGGGAGGGGGTATTCTTTACGCAAAGCCGTTGATTTGGAAACAGTTTTGTTGCGTTAGGTAGTGTGCATTAATGAAAACATTTTCTCAAGTACTTTTGTCCAGGATTGTAGCTTAAAATTTGGCCTAATCCCGGTATTCTAATCCGTGGCTGGTTTCTCTGCAATGCGATGCAAAAACAACAAAAGCAAAACTAAAGTAAAACTGAAACTAAAACTAAACAGACAAACAAATCTTACTCGCTTATAATTGCTTTTGTAAGACTGTCTCAAAATAAATCGGGTTTTTATTTTCCTAAAACAGTTGCTAAATCCTAAAAACCTTAGGCAAATTAAGGTTGAAGCGTGGAGAATAGGGTGAATCTCAAGTAGTAATCTTTAGACATGAAACCATCGTTTCCTGTTGGCCGTTAAAGGGACAAGCTTGTCAGTGCTTCAAATTCACGGCGCGCTCCTTTTTACCCACATCTGTCTCTTACCTCACATGATTCTTTTATCTTTGTGGCGTTTTGTTGTTGAGGAGAGGTAGTTGTTCCCAGGGAACCTCCAGAAACACAAAGAATTGACAGAAGAGCGAAATACTGTACCATGCTGAGAGTAAATCCAGAGTACAGTTTTTATTGCGTTTTGTACTCAGAGCTCGTCAGATAAATCGTATGACGGGGCTGTTTGCCGAGAAAAGCTCACTGACGAGAGGTAACCAGAGAATGAATTCCTGACAGCAACTCATACGTCCTCTCCTACAGCATCAACTCAACTACAAGCTGCTCCAAATATTGGCAACTTAAATAACTAAAAGGTAGGTGCGTTTGGGCTTGCTGACCATGTGCGTTACGAACGCTCTTCCTAATGACTTACACGAACTTCCTGTTGATCACCAAAGAGGGTGAAAACAAACCTTTAAGGTAAACAAGTCAAGAACAAAAAATTAAAAAAAAAAGAAGGTAATTAAGCCTACGAGGTTCTTAACCTGAAGCTTAAAAAAGAACTCTGATGTACGTGAAGGGAATAATTCAGGTCAGCTTTAAACGTGCCCACTCAAGGACTGACAATCAGATTTAAATAATTTATTTTTAATAACAACACGAATGACACTTAAGATGACACACTCAGCCATCAAAAAGGAAATAACACTTGAAAACTGAAGACATAAAAATACGAATTAACCTTGATCTACAAACCCAAAACTAACGGGATTTAAAGCACGAGCGAAAGGTCGGGATTATCCTCATGATTATCCTCATGATTATCCTCATGATCATCATGATATTTTACAACAATAGCAAATATTCTAAAATGATCTTTTGTACCCGTTTCAGAGAGTTTGTTCTTGCTTATTTTCTTTTTCTTCCATTCGTTGCCTCAGGTACTGAAACAGGGTAGAAAAATGAACACTACGCAAAAACTGTAATAATGATGATGACACACATAATATATAGACTTAGCCAGGGCTAAAAGCGAGGCTCCCATTAATAAATTTATAATTTTAATTAAACAATAAACTTGTATTCCACAATTTAGTTAACTTTAGAGCACATTTATGTGACTTTTGAGGGAAAGGCTAAGTGATTTCAGAGAAAAGTAATTTGCAACAGCCCAAGAGTGAACCAAATCTTACACCGAGTTGATAGCCTCACATGTACATCAAAAAACTGGTAATCATCTTCGATCACATTTAAGAGCCATAATGGCTTTTGATCACCGTAGATTAATTAGGCCTGGAAAAAAAATCAGGCCGAATTTTTTGCGTCCGACAAGTTAACTTTGCAAAATTTTGCCAACAAATCTGGGTGCGTGTAAACCAACCTTTTATACCATTTGTACATCACATCTGAGGTGAAACAGTACTATGAGGCACTGTTTTTATCATACATTCCTTGGACAGAAAGAAGTATTTCACAATTTTGCAATACAAATTGCACTCATTCAGTAGTACGGACGATGGAAGTACGCGTTGGCTTTTAGCTAAACCGTTTCCAAAATCACCTATACGGCCATCCGGTTCTCACTTTTGTAGTGCGAGCTGAGGCGAGAGTTTGAATGAACATTAACAGAGTTACGCTCCAACATGATAAAGAATTTGTTATGTTTATTTTTGTATTTTAAAATGGTTTAACGCGCGGCATTTTGAGTACTCCTGCAAGCGATGTCCACTGAACGACTGAAAACAATCGGCACAGCGATTAAAATTACAAGAGAGACTACTAACAATCAATAACAGAAATATAATTCGGTGAAACATAAACAGAGACAACAATTTTCATTCAGGAAGACAAGTATTAAAGTGTCTCTAAAAATCCTGATTCTTCAAGCGTAAAGCTTAAGTTTATGTTTTAAGCCGTCTTCCCGGTGTTTCGAGTGTTTGCTTTTTTCAAAGACGAACTCGAGGCAAGAAAATCGCTCAAAGCTTTCTTTTACATCCAGAATTATAACTAAATATTATTTGGAACGTTTTCTTTCTATTTGCGGTGAGAAACTGTCTAAAGCTAAGGCTTTTTAAAGTTCTGTACGCTTATTATCAAACCTGATACTCGGTCAGATCATTTTCTCAAATCTTACAAACGTGCATAAACTAAATACCCGCATAAACTACGCTCGACTTCATTATACATTAGATACAAAAAGCAAACACCAAATACAATAATTACTCTGGCTTACCATTCGAGATGCAGCTCCTGAAAGGTATCCAGTAAGGCCAGTATAGCTTCAGACTTTGCAACCCTCTAACGCATCAAGCAAGAAAACGAAAACGATGCCATCCGAAATCGGATTTCCTACTTTGACAAGCGACGTATTTCTCTACCAAAAACCCAATAAACAAAACTATCCAGGAATAACAGAAGACTCCTGGTAGCAGCTGAATTTCATTTTGTACATCCAGTGGAAAAAGACAGTTAAAAACATCACAAGTTGACACAAAACTCTGTCAGCTTCAGCTGTCAAAGTAAACAAGATTCAAGATGCTGCACAAATTTTCCGCATGAACTCACCTGTCAAATTTTGACCAATCAGAGCATAAAAATTGAACGTAGAGCGTGACCAACGCGTGACCATGGTGAGAAAAGTCGAAAGCAACTGTCTTCCCTGCCGGTAACAGCTGGCTGAATTTTCGCGTCCGAGGTCAGTTTGAAATCAAAATTTTAATTGTAGGGCGCATAAACACTACATATTTCATATGAATTTTAAAAAAATTAAACTTGAGCCTGCGATCACTTGAAAACTAGTAACTTGTCAGCGAATAACTTCAAAAAAATACTTGACTTCGATGGGTCGACACCTGAGCCCGCGATACGGTCAAGTGATACTGGTCAGCGGGTACCTTGTTTTGACAGCTGTCAATTGATCAAAACATTGATGTCCAATATGTGCGCATTATCAGTTTTCCTGTGCTCCCAAACTGGCTAGAAAGTATGAGATTGAACATTGTTCGCGATCTAGTAAAACAATTAACTGGTCAGCGGACAGCATCCAAATAAATCCCGTCACCTCGATGAGTTGACACATGAGCCCGCGGTATGGTCTTGGGATACTGGTCAGTAGCTATCCCGTTTTGACAGCTGTCAATTGACCTTATTGTGAATGTCCTATATGAAAGATGTGGACTAACCAAGACACGCCTAAGACACCCCTCCCTTCCATTTGATAGTCTCCCCTACCCTACCCGTGCAATCTGTAGACGCATACGTACGTACGCTCGGTCAATCACGTGACAACGGCAGGGCAGAAAAACCGCTGATTGGTTGCCGTTTTCGCGGCAGTTTGTGCTCTCCGCTGACCATCTTACAGCGAATCAAGTAGTCTACAAAAAAGAGCAAAGTTTGAAGCCAAATACATAGTTAACCATGACTAGTTCGGTGATTATGATCTGATATCCCCAAACTAGAACTCATTGACAGGCGATGTCAAGAGTTGTAGCGAAATCAGATTAGGAATACACTTTAGGGTGCTTGCTGAAAATGCGCGGGACAGTGTGTAGTTCATAGAGACATTATACGACCAATAGCTCTTAAACAATTTGCAAAAATAAGAAACAGGTGGAGTATTTAAGGTTCACAATTCGACCAACCAAAAGGCTAAAAGCCAAGAAGAAAAATAAGAAATACGTAAAAAAATCGAACAGTACGTTTTTCTGTGGCTTGCTGCTTTTTGTTTTTGCATCCCCCTCGCGGTGACAACACTCGAACGTAATCGCCGGTGAGAAGCTTCCACAAATGTACAGCCAATCTTACCTCTAAAAGGATCGATCCTCTTGCACTTAGAAGGTAGATAGCAGCGCAAAAATATTTTTCCTTGGACAAGTAAAAAAAGGAAAAGATTTGTAAACATCAAACTCTTCGCCTACGGCTTGTGTCCACTTACTGACTGGTAGGCGCCAGCTTCCCGGCCTCATGCTTTGCGCGGGAAATTATGAATGAAACTGGAGACGCCGCTCGTTTTTTCCAGCTTCAAAAAGCTTCAAAAATGTCCAAAAATAGTTACCGACCGCTTCACTGTCACGTTCCGGTCTTTTTGCGTGCGTTTCCGGCGGAAAGAACGCCCAAAGTTGATTAAATAATGGAAAATGTTTGTGAACGTGGCTCCAGATTAAGAAGCGTGTCAGAAAAGTGTTGGGGTGCCACTAATTACTATTCGGGAAAAGAGGCTGTTTTACGTGGCTACTCTAGGCCGGTTTGGCTATGTTTTGGTCATGCAAAAAAATTGCAAGTGGAAAGTCAAAGGAGGTGCTGTTTTCCAAGTGAAAATGCCGGCACGCAAAGGAACAATTTACTGCCATGTCCGCAGAGGATTCTCACCGTAGCAACAAACCTTGAAAACTACCAAGGAGGTGCATTTCTTTGCCCAAGCCACCTAAATCTCGTCGACGAAGCTCCCATATTTACCAACCACGCTCTCTACAAACCCCCTACTACGAGAAAGGTATGTTTCTTTTACACTCAAACAACAATCAAAATGTACAGAAACAGATCATACATTCTTAGTTTTGTTTTAGAAAATATTCATATTTTGCATTAAATTTTGCCCTATACATTTGTACACAAAATGTACTACTTCAGTCCTATGTACTACCCGAGAAAAGAAAACAACTTGGAGGGATGGAACCTCTCAGACCGCCCCTTTGCAGAGTGTTAATGAGCTAGCAGAGGCAAAACAATTAATTACCAAATTACAGAGCGAAAATGTGGCATTAAATGAAAGATGCAACAAGCTAGAAGGTATTGTATTGACGTACTCTTAATTTCCACACATTCAAAACAAAGACGACTAGTTTCAACCTTTAATAGAAATATTTTTTTTATTAATTTTCAGAGCCAACTTTTGATGAACAGTTCAAAACGTTCCACAAGTGTCTCACTAAACATTACAAGGATGGAGGGCAGCGGCTATACGACCCTGCAGGCATGGAAAAATTTGCCAATGAGTGCACCCCTGGATTGTTCGACCGTGCCTTGTGTCTAGTCAAGAATGATGAAAAACAACAGCTTTCTAAGAAAAGACATGAAATACTGAGACTGCGAGTTGTGGCACTGCTTCATCAGCTGTCTTACTTTACAAACCAAGTGTGTATAATAATAATAAAAAATAAAATAAATAATAATACTAATAATGATAATGGTAATGATAATGATAATAATAATAATAGTAATAATAATAATAATAGTAATAATAATAATAATAATAATAATAATAATAATAGCAGGAACCATACTTTAGGAAGACACTTAAATTAAATTAAACACCATGGTGTGTAATAGACATAAGTGTTGCTTGTTTGTTTTCAACAGAAAAACAATCCTTTACAACAAGACTGTGGGTTACACTTGTCCTTTCATGGTGCCAGTGATGATGCTTTGACAGCTGGCTCACTTCTGGGGTTTAGCACTTACCCGAGAAGTGTGCTAAATCATAAAAAAGGATTGTCTGGAAAAAGCATTCACAAGACACAAGCGATCGTTGAGAGTGCCATAAAGGTACATGTATTTACATACTGAAACAATTCATTATTAAACATCTGCCACTGCACAACACCCTGGCCAAAACAATAAGTTGACACAAGGTGAGGTGGCTGGATGTAAAGAAGCAGGGGCTAAATAGAAGGCACAAGGACCTTGTAACAAGGAGACAAAAACAACAAAAATAGAGTGATTTTATTTGAACCGTGAAACAGATATTAACAAACAGTGCAAAATAGCAAGAGGTAAACAAAAGAAGACAATGGAATTAATACATAATAGTGCGTAGTATTCTAAAAAGCTGTTTCACGGTGTAAGTAAAATGACTCTAATTTATCAGTCCATAGATGTACACTGATCCAGTTAAAAATTTCCTCCCCAACAGAACAACAACTTCCTCCTGCTCATTATAGATGATTTTAATCAACTTCCTCCTGGTCATTATAGATGATTTTAATTGTGTCCAGTCTATAAAAGACCCCAAACAGAGCCAGCTCAGCAAGTGCCTTCACATGTGTACTGGAGTAGTGGATCACCAAGAATCTATACCTGCAATGCCAACAACAAGAAACGTCCACCGGGTTGTACCTGTCCGAATTGCTGGGGGTGCAATTGTTAACTGCCGGGGAGGAATTGATGCCAACAAAGTGAACGAGTTGTTTCAAGAGCATTTGTCAAATTATTTTACATTCAGTTATTTAGACTCTCTACCTGCTGATTTCAGCCAGTTTGACCTGACAAATGTAAACAAAAGTTTAGTTGAATTAAGGTATGATTTACAACAAATCAGAAACCTAAAAGTCAAGGTAGTGGTCTGATAGTCATTGGGTGCCACAAGCTTGTACAAATAGAATAATATAATACTTTTAAGTAATAGATTTTAGTAATGTATTTCATCCAAACTTTTCATGCAATTTAACACTTTGGCATAAATCAATGCCACATAAATTTTAAAATTAACTGGCACCATAAATATCTTTATTATAAATTCCCCCTCAAAAATGAAATTGGCAACTCCCAATGTCAATAACTAGTTTTACATACAGCTCATCATAAATTTTTTTCCACATACCACTTTGCATTGTCTCACTATGTAGGAATTTGAAATGGAAAATTTAATATTGAATGGATAATTGACTTTCAAAAAATGTTGCTTAAGGGTGCCAAAAAAGAGCATGTACAATGTTTCATGATACAAACAATAACAAATACCTTGTAGAGTGTATACAGATGAGGCCAGACATGACTTGGATTTGCTGTCCAACACTTGGCTAGTAGACGAATTTGAACAGTCCCTTAAGAGCAAGGCAAATTATAGACAAGCAATGCAGCACCTCAATGAAGTTTGCTCATCACTAAGCGAATACATGGAAAAGAACCTACTGCTCTTAGCTGGTGATTGGCCAACATGGTACTACAACAAGAAGATTATATGCCAGGTTTGGCTTAACATTTTTAAAACACTTTTAGCATAAGGAACAATAATGAGCAAGGGATGGCACAATGGTGAGAGCACTCGCCTCCCACCAATGTGGCCTGGGTTCAAATCCCAGCATCAACACCATATGTGGATTGAGTTTGTTGTTGGTTCTCTCCTTTGCTCCGAGGGTTTTTTTTTTCGCTGTGCACTCCAGTTTTCCCCTCTCCTCAAAAACTAACACTGCCAAATTACAATCCGACCGAGAATTAGGTACACAAGGACCACTTTGTGGATGTGCTACCTCTGAATCAATATATATTTAATATAATATTCACAGTATATTTCTGAAGTGAAACATTTCATGCGTACGTAAACAAATACACACTGAGAGAGTCCACTCTAGTTAAGCAGAAAAACATTTACATGTATGTTAATCTTAATATTACTTAATAGTAATTAATAATACATACAGTTTTAAAGTAAGAATAATTATTTTTATACTGTCAAAGTTTGATTGTAAACATTTGCTAAAAAAAAGGTTGCTTACTCTACAGTGGAAACCCGATGTTGACCCAGACAGAGTATTGTCAGTGGTGCCATGGCAGGGGCCCTTCCATATCAGTCTGAACTCACAAGAAGATGTTGGGGCAAATTTCCGCTGTTTTTTTGAAAAGCTTTACAAACACTTGTTTGGTCAAAGAAAAGTGTTGCCTTCCAAGCCTAAACCACACAGAATTTCAACTCTCATCACTACAGCATTTGGTGGATGGCTGACTGTAAAAACCGCTGCTCTGCCTGCATTTGGACAATGCAAAGACCCAGAATATGTCCTTCTTGTGTTTCTTCTGGATGAATTGGTTCCACTTGTGTTTTACTTTTATTCAGTTATCTTTCGAGGTGGTGACCAAAGGAAGTGGGTTGATGCCATGATACGGTTAGCCCTCATGTTTATCATCCAAAGGCGGCGTCACTATGACAAGGCCACCCTGTGTCAGTTGAGCGACCTTGTACACCAGCAAGAGGCCATTCCCAGCTTCCAGGAGCTACTGGAGCAATGGCTCAATGAGCTAACAGAAAAGAAAGTGGAAGTTTTCCATTCACTTCTTCAAAGGTAACATACATGTGTCTAGGAAATTCAAGAGCATAAACAGTTTGTCAAACATTACCCTGATACAGTATAACAGACAGATCCTAATAATGTGCAATATTGCCCCAGGGGCAACATGTTTTTTAACAATGCCACATATTTTTTTTACCTGAAAAATTTAGTGGTAAACCAATCAATTCCTCTTAAAACAAGCAGACCACTACTTCAACTAAGTTATGATTCTTCATTATTTTTAAAGGTAAGGAATGCAAAGTTCCTAAACGTGGTTTGAATAAAACTACTTTTCATCCGTGTGCTGTTGTTTTAAATGAAATTTAGTCGAGGCCACAGCCCTTGATATGACTGTCAATGACAGACAATGTCAGCGTGCAAAGACAGTCGTGTCCGATAGCCCACGGCTAGTGGATTTTGCTATTGGGCTAGTGATTCTTGTTCTTAACTTGCCCAACAGGCAAGTGCTGTTTTTCAGGCAAATTCAAATTACAGAAGGATTGGAATTAATCCTGCTAATCAAACACGGTTTTACGGCTAGTTGAAATGAGTGTGGGCTAGTAAATGCTAGCTACAGCTGCGGCATCTGTAAAACTGAGTTTCTTTGCACCCAGGAATGTCAAGGAAAATAAACTTTTGAAAAATTCAAATAAGCCAAAAGTGTTACATTAATTTCAGCTAAGTGACTAAGACATTTCATTGTCCTTGAATTGTCAGATCAGTTCCTCCAAATGCCACAGCCAGCCAAGTTCAGGCAGCTGCATAGGCCATAAGTGCAAACAGATGTGCAGAAGACTTTTGTACCTGGTTCCTTACCAATAATCCAAGAGGCAAGGGTGTCCGGAACCTAAGGGACCTATCAAACAAAGCAGCTGAGTTTCTTCTTGACTTGTTCATCTCTGTGAGGCAAAACCTTGGAAACTCTGCAAAAATACCCAGAGGACAAAGGAAATATCAGGTAGAATCCAATATCGCTGTAACAATCCATTCCATAACAAAACAAAGCATTTCCTTTACAAGATATACCTGAAACAAACCTTTATCTTTTTCCAATGCAGCCTTATTATCTACCTTCTCTTGATGCAACTGTGGACCAAAGAAGCTTCCCCTTAGGGTATGCCTGGAAGGGTCAAGAACCAGACCCACTGTTGGCTTGTGATGCAGCAGATTGCAGAGCAGATGAAAATCTCCTACTTGCAGTTCAGCGCTTCAACTGTGGCCACACATTTCACAAAGTTGTCTTGGTAGTTCCTCAAACTGTAACGATCATAACTACTCAATACTGTATGGTGTCAAGTGCCCCATTTGCTCTGAGCAACTTCCTTTAAGAATCCAAGAACTTGCAGACAATTTCAACAAAGGTTTACTGGCAGGAAATGATGAAACTGACGGAAGCAATGATAATCATGATGACGACGACGATGATGATGGAAGTGACAACTCAGATGATGATGACAGTGATGATGATGATAGCAAACCTGATACACTAGCAAATAAGATACTCATTAAAGCAAAACAATCCCTTTTGCATCTTCCACAAAGTGCTTTATTTAAGTACAGCAACAAAAATTCCAAGATTGTAAACTCCACCGACTCTACTGGACAAGCAGTAATTGTTAATACTAGTATGGTGTGTGTCACATGTGGCAGGGTCTGTAAGAGCAAAGGGGGCTTGACTCAGCATCAGAACACCCACAAAGGGGTAAATAGCTAAGTGTTTCCCTGAAATGAGAATAACAAAACAATAATCATTTCCTTTTTTAGAAGCAAATCCAAACAAATAATACAAGCCCTTTGTTTCATGTAAAATACCTTGAATAGGAATAGGCATGATAACACAGGAGAGAAACCTGAACAATGCCTTTGTTGTTGCCTTTGTCTTGCTATAGGTATCTCAAAACAATGCAACTAGCTAGATAACAAATAAGTGATCTTGTGCTTGCATTTGGAATTTGGTCCATACGATATTATATGAGAACTTTGCATTATAAAAGATTAACTCAGCCCAAGTACTATGCCAGTGAGAAAAATATAGTGATAGTCCTGTAGAGAATACTAATAAGGGACAATGTGATGTAGCCCCGCTAATAACGTGACAGTTTTGATAGACGCCGCTTTTTACACGTGAAAAGCGAATGTCCCTCGCGGCGTTTGCTTTTTTAGAAGAAATTATACGAGGAGGTAAACTTGTTATCCAAGGTAACTTCCAACCCTCTTCGATCAGCATATAATTCTTCACATCCTACTATGCCTCATTCAATAATTGGTAAATGACAATGAAAATGATAATGATAAAGACAAACATATGATAATGTTAATAATTTTATAGAATAAAAACAACAGTTTACGTTTTCTATCCCAAGCGTGATGTCAAGACGAATTCATATTGGTTGTTTTGCTAGCTGTTGTTGACTGTTTTCACCCTTGTTAAAGTTGCATTACAATACGTTCGAAACCTGAAAGTGCAAGTACAGATGTTAAAACAAGTACTGATGTATTCGAAAATGTGGCGAAAGGCTAGATCAAGGTTTCGCGATAAAATTTGGGGAGCAGACGGAGTGTATTTATGGTGCGACTTCTCGAACCGAGGCACTTGGATAAAGAATATCCAATCATAACGTTTTTATGAAGACAAAAGATTATCACTTTTTTGTTTTTTTTTTCAAACGCACCAATAAAATTCAAGGATCAGCTAAGCGAGCGTTGAAAACTTTCAGGAAACATCCCTCAAATAGCCCGATTGCAAAAAAAAAAAAAGAATAATAACTTGAAAATCTTTGTTTTCAAAAACCGTTGTGATTGGATAGTCTTCCAAGTGCCCCGGTTCGAGTTGTCAAACTGTAATGGGGAATTCAAAGATAGGGAATTTTCAATATGTAACATCTCGATGTACAGCACTGTAAGCCACGCTGATGTTGCCTTTTTTGATGCTAGATCTAGTGCTCGCTGAGTCTTTTTTTGGTGCCATCTCCTTAATACGCTCTGCTCTGTCTTCTAGTTCCTTTAATCTTTCACTTCTTACTTCCTGTTGTGCAGGAAATCTTCTGGTAACTGATGTGACTGAGAGATACGATTGTGACTGTGAGATACTATTTGTTGAACAAGGGGCTTTGTTACTTTGACTGACGAACCGTATTCGCCCCTTGTTTTAATGCGAGGGACGGGTTTCCCAGGCCACCTAAACGAATTAGCAGAGCTAGAATATTCCTATCCAGCTAATTACACTTGCGCTCAGTAATCGCAGGAATGAGTATATGAGATATTGCATTCTCTAATGGCTCTAATAGATCCTGAATGTCCGGCAAAGTTCTTAAAAAGTACGTCCACCGATGGTTCAAGCCAAAGGTGAAGGCTGCGTAGCAACTTCTGCTAACTTAGCTATTTCATGGATCCAATTGGTCACCTTTACGCTAACATATTCCTCTAAATACTACCTTGAACCTATCACTGCTCCAAGGTGTTTCTGCCCGTGTACTGTTACATTGATGGACGTGTCCTTGAAAGCTTCCCTGACACTTTCTTCTTTAGCTGGTTTTGCAATGATCCAGCATTTCCTGTCGTTCGGAAAATAACCAAAATCTAGACCGATCGAGGGTGCTCAGTGTATCCCACCGCGTCATAATTTCCGTTATAGAGACAGCACCACTAGCATCATCTGCAGACCAATATTGCTTCACACTGGACGCTGCTTGTAGGCAGGCATATAGACCCATTGCAAGCGGATCGCCCTGTGATGTTCCTTCTGCTGACACGATCTCTTTGCCGCCAATGACAAATAGCCAGGCTGGCTGCTGTCTGTAACTATTAATGGCGTAAGTTGCTATTACAGGGCATAGAAGGTTGATGTTGTGCAGTGCGGCTGCTCTGTTAAGTGCGTTGAATGCATTTAAGACGTCGATGAGCAGTACGGCATCAGTGTCATCTGTTTCAAATATGGTATGCATAGCGTCAGCGTTTATTGCAGCGTCGCTTCTGGATTTTTGTCCAGCACACGGCTGGAGTGAGCCGCTAGCTTCCACAACATCCTTTTTAGCAACGCTTATTACACACTTTCCGCAAATTCTCCTTAAAAATTCTCTGACTCGCCTTTATCCAGTGGAATCAGACGGCTAGCTACCAGGGGCTCCATGGTCGTAGGATCAATGTATTGCGTAGACAGAGTCGTTGTCATTGTGGCTATTGCCTCACACAGCCTTGTAGATGACTGTTTAAAGGACTTACAAGCGAGGATTCTTCTGAAGCATGTGCGTCAACACCAGACCAATAATAATAATAATAATAATAATAATAATAATAATAATAATAAAAGTAAATTATAATTATCATAAAAAATCTCCCATAATACTTTGAGGGATTTTTTTAAAAAGCTTTATAACTTTGAGAATTTTATTCGTAGAAAATTGAAAGACCACAACAAGATAACATTTGCCATAAAATATCTTCCTATGTCACATCTGGCAAGTTTTTGTTGTTTTTCTCAACAATTCTTTACACTGTATTGTCTCTGAGTAAGTAATTATTATGCCATTTTTAAAGCAGAAGCAAACAAAAACAGAGGCAGAAGTTTAAAAGTTGCGTAAATTGACCGATATTGCAAGTTAAAGCCGAACTACTTAACCTGAGACTTTTGTAAAATCCTTTTTCAAGTTTACTGTTTGTTTGCCGAAATAAATGTTCAAAGTTTGTTAATAAAGGAGAATTTTCAAAAGTAAAAGTATGTATTTGGCGGCCATATTGTGTTTTTCTTCATTCCGGGGAGAGAGATCATGTAGCAGTTCTTCTAACCCTAAAAGCCAAATGGTTTGCTACCCTAACCTAAAACAATGGAAATAGTGATAAACAATATTGCGTTAATGTTTTCTCCGACCGATTAAAAGACACCTTACGAACAGGGAGAGTAGCTAGCCAAGCCACCGATACATCATAAATTCCTTAAACGTTTCCCGGGATGGACCAAGCCTGAAAGAGTATTAATGGGTTTATTGTGAGCTTTACGTCTGGCTACGACCAGTTAAAGATTTAATTCTAGACGAAAACCGAAAAAGTCATCCTTGAAAACTGTCAATCACCATAGAGAAGGAATATACCTCTTTTAAACTTGAATTGTCATCGCTTAACGAGGTGGTTCAGTGGATAGAGGTGTTAACTTTTAGTTCTAACTGATTCGGAGAATCCCCTTGAAACAAATTTTACGTAACTTAGTTTTTTTTTTTTAATTTTTCTTTTTTACTCTCTTTTTTACCTGTGTGGTGCATGTAGCTATGGTAACAAAATGTGGTAAATTGAAAGCAATGTTTACAGGAATATAAAAACTGCCTAATGTATCAGAGCATATCTACCGGTATTTTGAGTAATACTGGACGCTTTTATCATTACCTAGTTCAAACGTTGGATTTCACATGTGCCTAATCTAATTCGACAGGTAACTGCTTTGAGATGCGACGTCTGAATCAACTAAATTCGACACTGTTTCAAATTAAAAACAACTTTGCCGAATATGCGACTGAAACAGTCGAAAATTCGACTAAGGTTCAGAAGTTGAATTTCACATGTGCCAAATATAATGCATTGATTATAGAAACCGTTGTCCATGATGGATAACAATTTGTTCTAGAGACTGAGGTCAGAATATTTACAACAAACGGATTTAAATTCAGCACCATAATATCCGACGTCTGAATCAATTGCGAGTGTCCGGCACTTATAAGAAAGTCCACGTTTGAAAAGGGCCTAACATGACATGTTTCAGCTTAGTGTTTTGCTGGCTGTTCGTTATTAATTTTTTTTTCTTTTCAGTAATAGCAATTCCTATCTCTTTGTAAATCAGTTTTATTAATTGGCTCGTGCCACGACTTAAAGGGACTGGTTCACGATAATGCGCATGTGTGAGTTCTGACAGTAGCTGATTGTTTTTCAACCAATCGGAAGCGAGTTACATGCACGCAAGTAAATTTACAAAATTCAAATTAATTGTTCGCGACGCGAGAGTATTTCCGGCCATTTGGTTTGATTTTATTTATCCCCATAATTCAAGTTTATTCTTTGCTACTCGTCAGATAAATGTTGCAGCCGATAAGAATAAGATTTACAGCCCTGTCCTGCTTTGAAACAAACATTTACCAACGTGTATTTTTACGAGGTCGTACCCACGCTAACAAAACAGTCACCGATCGGCAAACGAAATTCGTAAACAAACATCTTATTACTGTTCTCTCAGTTCGCCTTATATAAACCCAGAAATACCTACAAATAGCGCCTGACCGGTGACAACAACACACAAGGTATGAGTATAAAGATTATCCTTAATTGAGCATAAATTTCAATTGCTTATCAGCAAATGAACAAATTCATTCGCATTGCATCGGGTCAGTGCTCCGCAAAACAAATGTTTTCGAGTAGCACACATAAAGAAACTAGATTATAAACAGAATATTCAAGCAATAATTTATTTTAAAAACATCAATTCTTAAACATATACGATCGTAAAGCAAAGACACAAGGAACATTTCAAGTGTACCAGATCGGTGAAGATCGCGCGGCCTGTTGCGGTATAACTACAGGTCGGAGTCAAAAATCAAATCAAAGTTGAACAAACTCATGCCTTTAACCTCTTTCCAAGTGTCGTGTATTATTTTCGTATGCCACACACTACTTCTAGAACCATACCAAATCGATAGGCTAAGCTTCTCTATCTCCAGAGACTCTTGAGAACGTCCTGTTGCCGGACGGCCACGACGCTCTTCTGAACCTCCATGATCAAAACATTATTTTTTGCCTCTTCTTAAAACGTAACCAGTCAAACGACACAACCACACGTTAATCACCACTACCGAAGTATAACTAGACCAGCCAAAGCGACGGATGTCCGAAAAAAACGAAGGATTTTCAATGATTGTACCGGTAATGGCGATTCCGAATTTAGTGTTGACCCGACAAATTTATTCTGAAGAGACAAACGGCGCGCATGCGCATTATCGTGCACCAGTCCCTTTAAGAATCAGCTGTAATAGTTGATTTTACTTTCTCTTTGACATGATTTGTATATCAAAAAGAGCAGTCAATTTTCATCCACTCATTTCAATGAAAGCAAATGGTATCACTTCTTCTCACTTCAACGGACAACCTCGAACCGTGATTTCGTCGTATAAAATTGCGGCACCGAAGAAAGACGTAAAAGCTAACCCCTCTTGATCAACTTATTTTAAGGTTTAAACTCGAAGCTTTATATAGTGTAAAATAATTGCAATATTATTACAACTCAATTAAAAGCTAATAGAATCGACGCGACGATCATTGACAAGACCAGCAAGGAATGCAGAGTGATTGAAATGAGCTGTTCACAACTGGAAAATAGAGAGTCTAAAGATTTCACGAAGACAACGAAGTACAGTCAACTGAGACCAGAGCTGACGAACCGATATCCTGAGTACAAGGTCAATCAGTACAACATCATCATGGATGTCCTTGGAGGCTGTTCGAAAGAGGTTGAGCAGAATATAAAAGAGCATGTAGGAGACAAGTGTAAATCGATTATGCGCCAAATGCAAAAGGCAATCCTGTCTAGTTCATTACACATTGCTAGAATGTTCAAGCTGAGCGGTTAGATATCTATAGAAATTTTGGACACCCATTTTAACACATACTTCATCTTGTACATTATCGAAATTTTATTGACAAACCTTAGACGTTCTCATATTTAATGGACAGCTATATGAACTACGGTTTTTAACTTAAGAACATTTTAATTTTATAATTAAGACGTCCACAAAGCTTGTAGGATTTTTTATTTTTGTTTTTATTATTATTTTTTTATGACGCTATTATCAAATCATTTTTACCCAGGTTTTTTTTTTTGCGCAAATTATTGTGTAGTTGTTACTTCGAAGTTTAGTCGATGCTGCAGCTGGTTAGGCTTTCCAGCCCATCCAAGGCTTTTATTTTTTTACTCTGAGTATCCAGACGTTTGCACTGCCATTATAATAATAATAAAAAAATAAATAAAATAATAATAATAATAACAATAATAACCATTAACGTATAATTTAAATGAAGATCTCGGTCCGCTACTGATTCCTGAACCACAACACATTTTACGTTATTACATTATGCGTTCAAAAAGTTCTTACATTTTGCGTTGAAAGATTATTACATTCAGCGTTAGTATTACATTTTGCGGCGTAACCGGCGCATGTCGCGCAAGCTATGTCCTTGGTTCTAGAAACGCCTGTTTATTTTTAGCCTGGGTGAAGTTGGGACCAAAGACGAGTGATAAGAGTTGGTTGGTTAAGGGTGGGTGGGTGGGGTGCTGATCAAGCTCGTTATTTGCCCTTGGTCATTAGGGGCTGAGTTTAGACCCTGCGCTTCTCACTGACTAATTACGTAGGGAAATTTTCTCACTGACTTATGTAGCGCTCTACAATATAATAGCTGGCTTACATTGTATGCTATGGAAAGTTGATTTTTGTTACAAGCAAAAAAGGTAGTTAGCTATTCTATATTTAATTACAAATGTAAGCTGTCTCAAATAGATAGGCTTTCATTGAATTGCAACTTTAGTACTTTGAACTGATTGTTATGTCTTAATTTGTAATAGCTGTGATAATTTGCAACAATTTTGTTGTAATTTGTAATACATGTAGCAATTCGAAAGAACTTAAGAAAGGGCTTTATTACAAATAACGACACCTTTGCTTATCAAAAATTACGACAAAGTGTTATTACAAAGTACTCGAGCTCTTTTATTACAATTACGACAAGGTACTTAAAAATTGCTACAGGTATTACATATTACGACAGCTGCTACAAATGTCGACAGTTGTTATAATTTACGACAGAATATATGATTGTTTAGATGAAAAAATGCAACAGTGAGCCTGCTTTTATCAGAGGACAATTCTTTTCAGGTTCACTGGTTAGGACTGAGGACTAGATCGTTCGTTTGTCATTGACTGTTTCTTGGACATTTATCACACTTTCCGAACCATAATTTAACCCTATGTAACTGCTCTGCTGAGCTGGAGGTGGTTCGCGGGTTCAAACCCCGGTCGCACCAACACCCGGGGTCTTACAAGCGACAAGAACAAATGGTTAGATATTCTAACATTCTACTCCTCTCGGATAAGGACGTAAAACCATAGGCCTCGTCCCACAGCTCTTTCACTGTTCTGTTCTTGTGGGACGTAAAAGAACCCACACCACTGTTCGTAATGAGTAGGAGGCGTAGACCCCAGTGGTGTGGCTGGGTGGATAATGAAGGTTTTGATATCAGTTGGGACGTAAGTTCGGTTTTATCCCCTGTCACTGTGTTGAGTCACCGTGGCGAATTCAATACAGGCAATGATCATAGGTCCACTCTGAGATTACTTTGAAATAGGGCTTTGAGTATCACGGCCCAAGCCTCTTAAATGTGCTGTCCACAAAACAGAAAATACATTTTTTTCTTTTTGAGTAAATCAACTCTATTGTGATGATGATAAACTAAATCTCATGTAGTCCAAACTATAGGCCATCACGAAACATAAGGATACATAACTTCTTAACGCGACTATAAAAACCTATACCTAATTCTCACAAAAGAAGATCTATTGTAACCGGTATTGTTTCGCTTTTACGATTGAGTTTATTCACTCATTCGCCTTGCTGACTTGTTCGATTGCGATTCTTTACAACTCGTAAATAAAAATCGTGCGCGCTCACTAATCATGAATTAATAAAAATTTGGACTCAACGTTTGTGTGCTTATTCAATAAAGTCGTTTCATTATGGTGGTTGCCATCACGTGACCTGGCAATGGTCATATAAGAAAGAAGCCATTTCTTAAATTTCACAAGATGAAAAATTATACAATTAAGTCATACAATCTAACTATTTATTATTGCTCTTGAAACTATTATCCCTTTTTTTCTTTTAGCTGAGGCTTCTTTGGTGTGAACAAAACTATTAGGACTGGGGCCTAGAAACTTCTTCAATCATTATCCGGGACACTGAATTCCACCCGGTGTAAGCATCACCCAAGGTGCTGCCACTGCACTGTCCTACCCATAATTCCACTCTAACAGCCCCTTGTGGAATGTTTTCACAGTATCCCTCAAATGACCGATGATGCAGCTGATCATGATTGGTATTACCAGACGGCCAATAATTGTAGACAAGTGCTTCAATCGTCATTGGTCGGTTGCATTCATTTCCATTTATCTTGAAATACCAACGATTACACTTAGTACTACCTCTGACCCTCATGTTTGCGTGAAACGAGACTTTGAGCGATGTATCAGACGTTAACTTGTTGAAAGTACACTCCTGTAAGAGAGAAAAGACGAGTAAAATGTCGTAGTTTCCGACTTTGCATGGTCACGTGATTAACGGTCATACAAGGTAGGCTTGACAATATACACACTACAGGAAGACCATATATTGCATTAAGGTCGGCACAGCTTGCGAAATATTAAGTAGTTATGTGTACGTAAAGAAATAAAAAAGCCCGCTTAAGCAGGATTAACTTAATTGATGAATGAGTTGCCGAGTGAATGGGAACATACGACTTATTGCCCTCGTCGTTATTTATGGAGGTGTACTTTTGTTTGATTAAGGATACTTGTACTGAGGGCTCACATGAACCAAAATTCTTATTTACCTTAATCTTTCCGTCATCAGTATCGGTTTGTGATTTCCACACACATTGTTTCCAGTTGGTTTGTGGTACTACACTTGCTTGACTTGCTTTGACGCTTTCTCCTTTCTCTCCTTTGCCTCCTTTTCTTCCTTGATTTCCCATAATGCCTCGCTCTCCTTTGATTCCCGGAACTCCTCGCTCTCCTTTTAATCCCACAAGTCCCTGCTGACCTTTGATGCCTTCAATACCTGTCGGTCCACTCTTCCCAGGTGGCCCTTCGCGTCCTCTGTCTCCTCTTGGACCCGGCATACCTTGTGATCCCTTATCACCTATTCGTCCTTTTACACCTTCCCTTCCCTGAGGTCCTTGCGGTCTGGGGGCCCCGGGTATTCCAGGCATCCCATTTGATCCTGGTATTCCAGGAAAACCATGGCCGAGTGTAGATTTCTGTAAATAAAGATAGTTTCATCACTACGTGGAATATAATTGTCCGTGTGAGCGTAGTTCTGAATAAAATAGTTGTTGACTGCGACTAACGCCTCGACAAACTGCGAGTATGAAATAAATCATTACCTTAAAAGGGTCATTCTTTTTGGTTACAAATGAAGCCATTTGTCTGATTATAATATATATTTTAGTCAAACTGTGGTCTTTGTTCGTCCATTCTACAGTTATAAGGTTTGCTTACGTTCGTTTCTCATTAAGGTGCTGGTAACTGCTGGCTTTGATTCTAACAGCAGGGTTTGCTCTAGGTAAGTAATCCAGCTTTGTAGAAAGGCAGTCATTAGTCAGTAGCATAATATATGATCAGATGAATTTTTTTATTACGTATAAGAAACGAGGAATTTTTGGGCCTTTCAACTGAACTAAATCCCGCATTAGGAGAGATTCAGCTAAGGACCATCATGGATTCCAAATACCGTATGTCAATCTATGCCCACTAGGGCTGCATGATTAGCTCAGTTAGTTGGATAATAGTTTTTGCAGCTACCTGGGTTTTATTCCTGGTTGCACCAGCACTCAGGTTTTTCAAGTCATTTGAGGAGAATGTAGGTGAATGTGTTACCCTGACATCACTGATTGGTAGGACATTCTAGTCTTCATAGATAAGTTCGAAAATTGAGAGGATGTGTCATGCAACACTCTCACCTTACTCTTATGGGACTTTTAGACCCCGGTGGTGTGGTCCACCTTTCATGGGTGGGGATGGTAATTTTAAGCACAATATAATGTCAGATTGTTTTCATGCTAGAAAGTTATATCAATAAAATAAGTAAGCCTTCTTTTATACTTAGCGTTTAAAGCCAAAAAACGCACAGATTTACTTCCACTTTCTTTGTTAACTAAATTTAAATGCACGCAGGAACGCTAAAAACCTTAACATTAAATCGCTATTGTTTCTGATGTGGTAGATTGTAAAGTGCATAATTATAAGGCACAGAGTGACTAAAATTATCCAAACCAAAACTTGCATTTATATGATGGCCATGAGCTGTGCAGATTACAGGTGCTGTCGTGCGAGGTGTCTAATCGCAATTTCTAGGAATGGACAACCTTTGTAAAATAATCGTTTCTTACCTCACATAAATCTTGTAATGTAGCAGTGTTTTGTTGCTAAGGTGAGGTGGTCGTTCCCAGAGAACCTCTAGAAATGCAGATAATTAGGAAAACAGCGAAATTTTGCACCATGATGAGAGCTGAACCAGAACACTGCGATTACGGACTGAAATCAGTTCTACTTAGTTTTCATTTAAATAGCAAATATCCTTTGTTTTGCTTGTACCTGTTTTCTTTGTTTTTTGTGCTAGAAATCTCCTCATTGTTGTATTATTTGTTCCTGTACAGGCGTGTGAAAGATTAGGTACTTTGTTTAAGCAAAGTAATCTCTATTGTTCAATTCACTGCGAGGACCACGTACAGCTTCGTTTTAAAAATATAATACCAAATAAAAACTCATTTTAACGATAAATCGTTTAATTGATGTCGGTGTTCTTTTAGTGACGTTTTCAAATGATAATAAATGATAAAAACGTTTTACATTTGGGTCTGCACTAGCCAAATATGTGCAAAGTTTTTTGTTTATATATGATTTATTATCCTTTATTTACTGTCTAGTTTCCCCATACAAGTGTATATAAGTAGATACATGAAAAAATAGCAGAGGATGACCTTTAAACTTCTTTGAATGTGCGGCCAAATTGCAAAGGTCTTAATGTTCTGCGAAGTTTTAGTGGATTCTACTTGCCTACGTTGTTCTGCTTTTAAAGCGTTATGATGGTTTTCCTTGGTTAACACTTCGAAAATATCTGTAGAAATTCCTTCAATGTCCGTTTCTTTTGCTTGGTTGGCTTTATTCGCTCACACTTAGATGCGCGCGTAAAGGCCTGATATAACGAGTATCTGTCTCAGCATTGTTTTTCCCGGCAGTATGCACTTTGAAATGTCGTTTTTAGCTAGCTATTTATGACAATCCACTGTAGTTAGTATAAACTCTGACAGAAACTTAAGAAGCCTTCCTGGTTTAATCAAAAGGTCTTAACCTCGAGACGTGTAAGTAGTAGTAGATTTTGAATTCATCTCCAGCAACACAAGCCAAAACTTATCCATTTTCCTATATTTATCTTTCAACTGCCCCCAACGTTTGTCCTCGAATGTACACTCCCTAGTGACTTTAACTGAATGGACTTCCTATTACCCACCGAAATGACTGAAAACAAACCTATGATGAACCTAACCAGTTCGAGGCTTTACTTCAATGAATAAAGGAGCTCCGATGAGGGAAAAAACCCAAGGTCAGTTGTTTTCTCAAACGTGCTCACTTCAAGGACCGACACTCGAATTTAATTAACCCACAACTGTTAAATGACACTTACATTGACAAACCCATATAAAAAAGGAATAACATCCAAAAACCGGTCGACACAAACACTAGTCAGCCTTTCGATTTAGACCAAAATCCTATTAAGTCAGAAGTGAAAGCTCGTGCAGGAGAGTACCGGCCCAAACAAAGCGACTACGACATTGCTGACGGCATTAACAGAAGGTTTGCAAAAAAAGATTCATCGAAATTCATCAAATTTATAAATGGCATGGGTTTATTCGTAGACCATCTCGAAAATATGACAGACTTTGGTGAAACAGAAACGCTTCCGATTTTCCGATTTCTCCGGGGGTCTGTTTCCAACCATTCAATACACGGCTACGTGTTAGATGTTTTCATTCTTGTCATTATTCAGCAAAACCTCGGAAGGAATCGATATGTCGTGGAATTCCCAGACGATCGGGCCTTCGCGAGTATCCCAGACCATGTTATTTGTGGGGATTTTCCCATTACCATTCCCACGTGCCATTGCATGTTGAGTAGTGATGAAACAGACTGAAGCCAATCATGCGCAGTTAAAGTCAAACTCCGCTTTACAGACATAACCTCGTTATTACGATCAATTTTAGTTTACTGTCCCTAGCTCTTACATTTCCCCTAAATTTAATAACCCTCTTAATAAAGACACCCACCTGACTCATGATGTACTTCCACCCCCACGTTACGTCAAGTTTGCTTGGCTATTAATAGAGAGATTTGAAATCGCGTTAACGGCGAGCGGCCAACGTCAATTTGTACCTGGAGACTAAGTTTTCCATTCACTTGTCGTTTACTGTTTATTATGTCTGTCCACAAATCGGTATATTCATTGTTCTTTCATCCATAACTAGAGCTATTTTAGACACTTTTTATCGGCACATTTCCAAATTTGAGAAATTATGAACTTTAATCTGACGAAGCTTTTATAATCATGGTGGATGTCAGATCTGCGTTCAATTGACCCGGCTACCTTTGGGCTAGATGAGGGGAACATCTTTAAAGATGAAGGTGCATGTGTACCGCACCATCAACATTTTGCTGCTAACATTTTGAGAAATTTTGAACTTGAAGCTGACGACCGTAAACGTGATGAGGATTCTAAATCTTTCTCTTATTAAAAGAATACTTGCTACACAAGAGAGGATAAAGGGGATAGAGAAGGCATCCTCCATACACACCCTATTCCATAGGGAATTCGTCGTATTTAAGACCAAAGATCCCAAGGGGGATTAGACAACAGCCAATCACATAGCGCGAATGTGTTCCGCGTGGATGATCCACGCTAATATGCTGAATCAGACTTAATTTAGCCTTAGTTTCCGGGGATTATTTTCCGCTTGGAAAACTATGCGTTTGTTTGAAGTAATTGGAACGGTAGCAGAAAGTGGTAGAAACTACGGGGATAACGAAGTACCTGCTGCCTTGGCCATTTGCTGTCACGTGACTAGATACACATGAATTCACGTGACACGCTTGACTCACTTTGTTGCTTAGGTGAGATTGTGTGTCACAGTTGAAAAACTTCAGTTCCTTTGTTTAAACCAAGAGCGCTTACTAAAAATGAAAACTCAGCTGTCCAGACTGGTCACCTTGAAATGAAATGTAAATAAAGTTGTAATTTAGGACTGCGGTCTAGATACTTCTTCGATTATTATCCTTGACACTGAATTCCACCCAGTGTACGCATCACCTACGGTCTCGCCGGGGCACTTCCCGACCCATAATTCCACTCTAACCGTCCCTTGTGAGATGTTCTCACAGTACCCCTCAAATGACCGATGATGCAGCTGATTAGCTGCTCTCCCTGATGGCCACCTGTTATATACAACAGCGTCAATCGTCATTGGTCCATTGCATTCATTTCCCTTGAACTTGAAATACCACCGATTACATCCATCGGAAGTTTCAGATCTAAGATTTCCCTGGAATGAGACTTTGAGTGCTGTATTTGACGTCAGCTTGTTAAAAGTACAGTCCTGCGAGAGAATAATAGTTGAAAAGACAACTATTCTAAAAAAGCGCTAGTTTATCACTTGTCCCGGATGTTCATGGATGTGATTTACCGAGTGAAGTCATGTAAAAACAAACAAACAAACAAAGAAAGAAAAAAACAAAAAAAAACAAAAACAAAAACCTGAGAATATACGCAGTACGAGAACATCATTTTATTGATTACCGGATATCATACGGCACTGGGCTGGGCCGTGGGTATAAGTCCACATGATATCGACTTGTCAACACAAACTGTTATGTACTTGAATCGATTACTTTACTTATGATATAAATTTTGAAATCACTGGTGAGCCTTGCAATTTAATTGGCTCTCAGCAGTGTGATTTATTCGCGAATCACCCGATTTTTTGCTCTAAATCACATCTGTTGTAATTAGCGAAATTCATGTTCTCAGCAGGGGTGGGGGTAAGACTTCCCATACATTCTCTTAAATGAAATCCAAACGATGTTCTCACAACTTGCATCAGCGAGGGTCTTACCAGCGGGTTTGTGTACTGATTATGCGCATTTCGTCAAGTACCATAGACCAACGGTTTTGAGAAGGGTCAGCTTTAGATCCCATCGGCCGTGGCCTTTCTCCCCTCATGAAATTTACACAAGGTAGAACTATTTTCTGCTTTTATATCACACTGAGATGATATTTCAAGCTGGAAATGTTCATGAAAGTGCGTCTCTTCATTTTCAAAGAAAAAAATTTATATGAAAGACAATAGGATTCGATTCCACGACCTAGATGGTCCAGTATACTACCCTAACCACTAGACCACTGAGGATTTGGTGGATGGAACGGAAATAAGTTAAGTACATATAGCGTCAACCCCAACCCCAAAAAAGAACCTAACCAGTTTCGAAACAATGTTGAACCCTAATCAGTAAAGGCATTGCTTAACCCTAGTTAACAAAGGGGAAAACTGCTTTGTGTAAATTTTATATATGAGGTGTCCGAAAGGGCTGAGGTCGATGGGATCTAATGATAACCTTTGAGAAGGAACAAAAACATGGCGGTCCAAGGCGGGACTGTTTCTCACTATTATATTTTTGTAATTCGCAAATTTATTGGTTTTATGTCGCTTTTCAGACACAGTGTTTGGTTTTTCTTTTTCTGTTTAACAGTTTCATCATGCAGAGTTTGGAATATGCACCATACAGCTGCGTATAGCTGATAAGAACCGCCGGAATCGAGCAGTGTTTTGCCTGCAAACCTTGGGAAAGTTAAGGTCGCTTCAAGGTACAGAGCTTTTGGGATTTTTTTATTAGGATCGCTTTAAATTTTAACTTTGAATTCAAAGTGTTGACTGATCGTAATAAATGAAGTGAAATGTTATGAAGTGTGAACGTTTATCCAGGAATGATATGTACAGCTGAAAGCTCAAATTTATAAGGCTCTCTTGAATATACTTACTTCGATAAATTTGAAACTTTCTCTAGTATTTTTTATTAGCACCATAACTTCTATAATCTTCTGATGTCCTTGCCCTGCAAAAACGATGTAACCTATAAATCTATCGAGGGCGTTGTTTTTGGTTAAGATCTAACTCGGTTGCGGTTTAGTTTCCCCCGCAATTTCAGTACCAAAAGATAAATACGATATGCAAGAAAAACAAAGATGCATGATATTGTTTTTTTCAAATTTTCAATCATTTCTTCTGTGGGTTCGCTTCTCGCTTCTATTAAAATATTTACTGTGGGAAAAATACTACAATTATCCGCTGACCACCACGCAGGGTGACCGCTTTGCAAGTTGTGCGAACATCGTTTCTCGGTCCCAGACCTCCTCTCTTCCCCTTATCGCCCCGCCTGCATGTTCTAAATTGCGTCATTTCCGTTTTAAATCGCACCATTTTCACTCTAGATACAAGCATTTTTGTTTCCGCTTATCAACAAACCTCCTCCTAGATAAAATAAACATTGGGATTGAGTGAATTCTGCGATTTCAAAATGGCTGTAATAAAGCTCTGTCTGCTCTTTCCTTCTGACTTACTCTTGGGTTGAAAATAATATGTGAACTTGTATCTTGTCCCCTACGTTATGCAATCCGGCAATTGCATTAAAGATGGCACTCTCTTGAGACATGAGATTAATTCTCTTCAACCTTATATATTCACTGAGGAGTACACTTGTAAATTTAAAATCCTTGAGAGGGTTCTCATTAACAAGTTCCTTGTTTACCTTAATCTTTCCGTTATCAGTACTGCTGGCTGATTTCCACACACATTGTTTCCAGTTGGTTTGTGGTACTACACTTGCTTGACTTGCTTTGGCGCTTTCTCCTTTCCCTCCTTTGTCTCCTTTTCTTCCCCGATTTCCCACAATGCCTGGCTCTTCTTTCATTCCCACAAGTCCTGGTTCACCTTTTATTCCCCTGATTCCTCGGGGTCCGCTCTTTCCGGGAGGCCCTTCGCGCCCTCTGTCTCCTCTTGGACCCGGCATTCCTTGCGATCCCTTATCTCCAATTTGCCCTCTTGCACCTTCTATTCCCTGGGGTCCCTGCGGTCCGGGGACGCCCGGCATTCCCGGTATACCATTTGATCCAGGAATGCCAGGAAAACCATGGCCGAGTATAGATTTCTGAAAGTAAAGATGAATTGTAATGGACCTAATTGACATTAAAATTTAGCCGGAAAAGGAGGACACTGCTCCGGATAATATTTTGAAACTCTTCTTTCGAATTTCTAGTGTTCATACTTACAACACACGAGCCCCAACTTCTGAACATTTTTATACTAAAGAATGTCGACTCAATGTCAAACGAAACGCTTTTTCACGTGTTGGGGTCAAAATTTGGAATGGGATACCTCAAATTCTTAAAGAAAGACCGAAAAGGCTTTTAAAAGATCACTAAAAGAAATGCAACTCGATATCCTTGAAGCTGAAGACTCCTATACCAGGCGTTGACGTCACCTTTGCAGTTTTGCATTGCGAGTTTTGCACGCGAAGTGGGAGGGTTTCTCGGAAGTCATGCATTTGAATGAGAGAGATTTGAGGCATACTTCTCCATTCTCGCTGCATAAACATGTAACATTTTTGCGGTGCAAGCCTTTTTTTCTGCATGTTTAGGTTCTATTAGGTGCTATATAATTAACTCCAAAAGGCGAGCACGTATCTATTTGTGGTTGAATTTATTAAAAACGCCACAACTGCCGCTGCCGCTACTAGCAAACGTATTGTAATAGTAATGGAATTCTCTGCGCAGGGAACAACAACAAAAAAAGCTGTGCTTCTCTCGTGCCAACTTCAAATTTAGCACAGCAGGAGACTACGTGTGAGTCTAAGTCTAGCCATTTACTCGCAAGTTAACACCATTATCACGAGGAGATATGCAGCCAATAAGCTTTTATAGAAAAAAAGTGCGACAAGAAGTTGTCAGTAAAAATTTACTCTTCTTTCGTCGCCTTTGGCATATCGTGTGATCTCAGCCTCGCACCCCCTCCCCCAAGTGTTCAGCATGCGTACTTAGGGAGCAATGTTTGAGAGGATGTTTTGTTGAATTTTATAAACAGTGTAAACGAACGACAATAGAAACCTTAAGATACACCGTTTCAGTGTACGAGTACGGGTAAATAACCTGTACGTATAGCCGTAAATACGGGTAGATTTCTTCTTATCCCTAAAAAACGGGTAGGCTACCGGTTAGAACGGTATTTCTTTTTTGTAGTTCAATAAAGACACTTTAGTTCAAGAACGACAACAAAGTTCAATAACAACTACATGAACGTAAAGCCATCATCTCAGCTGGAAAACAATGGTTGCCTTTTATTTAACTACGTGACCAACGTGGTCGCCTACACGTACTCGTAGACAGAAACGGTGTATCTCAAGGTCACTAATGTAGTAAAACCTACCCATTAAAACTTAGCACAAATCCTGTTTATACGTTGCACTTAAGTCAACGTAAACCTCAAAATAAATCTTGAACAAAGGAGTTTTGTCATACAAGAAAGTTTCTCTTAAACGATTTTTTCTTAAAATAATCAAAAACGGTTGTTATAATTTGGTTGTTTTATTTTATCGGCTCCCGAACTCACTAATTCTAAGTTATGCGCAAATTTATGGGAAGGTGTAACGACTGGATTTTGCATAAACCTAATAAATTCCAAATTTTGAGACTAGTTTAAAATCACCCTCGTTGCCATGGAAACATACGAAATCCTTCGTTCAACCGAATAAATGTATTGTCGCTGTCAATGCCAAATTTGAACTTTATACCTGCAACGAGTCTTAATTATAAGTAACACCTGAAATTAATTGAATCGACTCTGATCTATCAAACTTTGTTAGGCTACCTTTATTTGACTGAATTAGATTTTTTCGTGCGACCGTTGCTTTACAGTCGTGCTACAATCGACCAGCTTAGCAGTGCAGCAGCAGGACGTTTGAAACAGGCCTAAATTGCTTATTTTTTTATTTTAAACTGTCAAGCTTGCTAGGGCTTAGTTCTTTTCACCCATTCATTTCTTACCTCGCATAGATCCTTTACCTTTGCAGTATTTTGTTGCTGAGGTGTGGTCGTTGTTTCTAAGGAGCCTCCAGCTATGCAAAGAATCAACAGAAGAACAAAATGCTGCACCATGATGGGAGTTAGCAAAGTTCCCCGCCGTTACTGCGTTAAGTGCTAAGAGCCGTCGCTTAAATAGCAAAAATCTTAAGATAATCTTTTCTTCCTGTTTCAGATTGTTTGTTCTTGTATTTTTTTCTTTTTCCTTTAACAATTGTCATCTTGCAAATTCTTAACCGCTGTTCACGTTCTCTCTTCCGGGGTACTGAAACAGGGTCAAAAGTTAATGATGACATCATCATAATAAAAGAACCAAAATTTTCCAAAAAAACCTCAACATTTTTATAAGTACGCTTTCTGTTGCTTTCTGTTTGTTTTTTCGTTTTTCTTTCCTCTTTGCTCGTCAAAACGTTTAGGTGTTTTCACTCAAATAAACAAGCCCGAACTTGGCTCGTTTTTTGTGTTTATTTTAAAATTTTAATCCTTGTACTTGATCCTTGTTAAGAATTGTTTTAATATTTTGTTCCTGTTTTTTTATTTTTATTTTTAAGATAATCTTTTCTTCTTGTTTCAGATTGTTTGTTCTTGCATTTTTTCGTTTTCCGTTTGGGGAAGTTATTTTGTAAATTCTCAACCGCTGTTCACGTTCTCTCTTCCGGGGTACTGATACAGGGTCAAAAATTAATGATGACATCATCATAATAAAAGAACCAAAATTTTCCAAAAAACCTCAACATTTTTACAATTTCGCTTTCTGTTGCTTTCTGTTTGTTTTTTTCGTTTTCCTTTCCTCTTTGCTCGTCAAAAATTTTAGGCGTTTTCACTCAAATAAACAAGCCTGAACTTGTCTCGTTTTTCTGTGTTTATTTTAAAATTTTAATCCTCGTACTTGATCCTTGTTAAGAATTGTTTTAATATCTTGTTCCTGTTTGTTTATTTTTAAGATAATCTTTTCTTCCTGTTTCAGATTGTTGGTTCTTGCATTTTTTCTTTTTCCTTTAGGGGAAGTTATCTTGTAAGTTCTCAACCGCTGTTCACGTTCTCTCTTCCGGGGTACTCAAATAGGGTCAAAAGTTAATGATGACATCATTATGAAAAAAGGACAACAATTTTCCACAAGAAAACAACATTTTTAAACAGTTTTGCTTTCTGTTACTTTGTGTTTGTTTTTCCCTTTTCCTTTCCTCCAAGTTCGTTACAAATTTTAGGCGTTTTCATTCAACTAAACAAGCCCGAACTTGTCTTTTTTCTTCTGTGTTTGTTTTAAATATTTAATCCCTGTACTTGATCCTTGTTACGGAAGTATTGAATTAATCTTCTGTTCCTGCATCGGTAAACTGCAAGATTGTAGGCGAATCTTTGTTTACAATTTTTTCGTCAATAAAAATGGCTCGACGTTTGGCCTAGGCCTTACCTAACGACATTGTAGTTTATTTCTTTTAGACGTTTTCGTTTTTTAAGATGCTATCTTCTTCAGCGCTCAGAGTTTCATTCCAGGGATCTACAAGGCTTGATAGTAATGGAACGTGTAGCCGCTTGTATTTCAAGTTCAATGACACCAGATATTGTGGACTAATGACGATTGAGGCTGTGCAGTACGACAAATGGCGGTTTGATGCTCCTGACCTCGTGGATCAACAGTACTTATTGGGTTATTATGAGAACATTCCAGAAGGGGAGTTAAAGTTGAATTATGGGTGGGTAGGTGTGATAATGGTTTCAGCTTTGGTGATTTCCTTATCGGATGGGAATCAGTGTCCCGGATAATAATAGAAAAAGTATCTAGGTCGCAGGGGCCAGTTTCTCGAAAGTCCCGGTAACTTTTCGGGCCCGAAATCAAATATTCAAATCGAAATATAAAGAATAAGAGTGCGGGTCCTGGCTAGCAAACTACTCCATTTTGCTTCATTAACTGAAGTTTTATCATGTTAGATGCAAAACTATTGAAACCTCGATCTTTAATGTAAACGGGGACAGCTTACCGGGCCTGATAATTATCGGGACTTTCCAGAAACGGCCCCCTAATAACAACTGGGTCTCCAAGTAACGGGTTTGATTGAGGAGGGTGAGAAGGGAAAATAATATAATTGTGTTGGTGGTGGTAGGACAACAATAGAATTTTGGTGTCATAGTGGAGGGAAAACATAAAGTGAACAGGGGGAAAAAATAACTGCATCGTGGAGGGGTAGGGAGAGGAGAGGGGAAAGGTACAAAATCACGTTTACTGCCGGAACTGGAACAATATCAGCAACGGACAATAAGAGCGGCAGAAAATAAACCTGGCATAATTTTGTTACAGTTCATAGGTGTCGACATAATGACTAAATAAGGTCACGAAACAGTTTTAATAAACTATGACATGGATCTGAAAATAACTATAAAACCCGCCAAACCTCATAAGACACCCTAAAATGGCACGCGACTTTTATAATTCCGCCGCATTTTATTCATTCAGACAAAAAGGCTATTACGTCATTAGTGTATTCCACTTCACAGTTATGAGATTCCACTCAAGAAAAGCCGATTAAAATCTCCAGACTATACTTCTCACGATAACTCGAACCACCATGATCAGTATTTACATACAGTACTGTGATGAGGACTGTGATAACGAGAGATACCCACACATTAGTACCCGAGGTCTCTATAAGATTCTTGAGGTGTGAAGACTTTCTAGAGGTCACTACTAGGCTTAGCCTGTTCCAGGCTCCGAGATGGTGGTGGAAAGTCGTTCAGTAATAAAAAATGCGAAAAACGCGCGGGGGCTGGGGAGAGACAGGGCGGCGGAGCCTGTACGCATTTTTTTAACGGCTTTTTCCGGTATATCAGCTCCTGATATACCCTCTGATTGGTCAATTGTGACAGTTAACATCATCACCTAGTAGTGTGGTCATCCGTTTGTCATCACCAAGATGGCTAACGCGAATCGCGCGTGTGATCTTTATGAATCCGCGTTGTCTTGTGCTTTAGACGAGTGTCTGCGACTTGACTAGCGGTAGAGATGTTTTCGGTATTATGCCCATCGGTTTCGGCAAAAGTTTCATCTTTCAGCTATTCCCACGCTTGGCTAAAGCTGCTCTAACCCTAGAAAACTCTACGATAATAGTCGTTTCGCCGCTGATATCTATAATGCGATACCAAGTGGAACAACTGAAAAAGCTTGGATTTTCGGCCGCAGCTATTTGGCATCGGTGAAGAGGGAGAGGAAGACGAGAAGAAAGCGAGAGAAGGAAAGTGCGAAATTGTTTTCGGTAGTCCGGAGTCCTGGTTGATCACAAAGTGGCAATAACAAAACAGTCCAAAGACTGAGCTTATTTCGCTATTACGAAGGGAGAAACTACGCGCTCCAGTAAAGACTCACACTATTTTCAGAGAAACACTATCAAGCTGGAGTTTACTAAGTCACAATGCAATTCTGCTCAGTCGATGTAGCTTGAGTTTAAGCTTCTCTTCATTCTTATAATTCTGGATCTGTAAATCACTATCCGTGATAATTTAACATTCTGCAAAGAAAACTAACGAGCTGGGCCCAGCGTGATACAACATTGCAGAAAAATATCACATTAATTCACGGACTAAAGAAAATCACTTAGTTAGTCAGATCCAGAAGGCACTTTGGAGAAAATTAAAACCCTTATTCAGCCGCAATAAAAAGCTTTACGCTTCAAATTAGAGGTCAAAGAAAATGCTCTCTCATCAGAGGGCAAATCCTGCAGACCAGAAACAAACGCCACAGTAAATCGATATGTGTGCCATGACCTCTCAGTGTGAAACAAGCGGATAAAGTCACATTTGCTCAGTGACAATGTAGAACCTTCCAGAGCATAAACTACCCAACAGAGGAAAAACCTTACCGCCCCCTTTTATTGCTATAAACTACAGCCAAAAAAACGGATGCTCTCACAGGATAACGAATTCGAAGACATAAATTTCCACACATCGCACAAGGAGTTCGCGTCGCGTGCAATGCTCACGCGAAAAACTTGAGAATGATTGTATCTAACTGAAGTGTTAACAGTTTTGACAGCCGAATCCAGACGTGACAAAAATGGGCGGAAGAGGGTCGTTAAAGAAATGCTAACAGGCTCTCTCTCCCATTTTTCCCGCCGCCACCGCCACCGCCCCCTTTCTCAAGTCGTGCGCGTCTTATTTTCGCTTTGCTCGTTTTAATACGTTTCCACTATACTATCTGAGAGCCTGGCACAGGCTATACTAGGCTCGGATAATACCCTCGCTGGTTGTCCGGTTGTATTTGAGACTCTGGGGTATTAAACAAATACACGTACGAAATTCATTGCGTTCTGAGCTAAATGGTGCTCGCAAGGCAGGAATAATTTGTAAAAAAATATACAGAAAATTTTCTCGTGCTCCCTTCCACCTCTGATACTGTCCAAGTTGTATTCCAAAATTTTCTGCATTGAGCAGGTCAAAGAGCCTTCATTGCAGACCAGCTGTTTGCAGATATTTTCCGACAAATCACTCAGCCTCTGCCTCAAAAGTTAAATGACACGCCTCTAAAGTTAAGAATAGATTTAATAGTTTCTTTGAAATGGTTTCAAGTTTATTATTTGAAGTAAATTATAAGCATGTCAACGGGAGCTTCTATTTATATTACACGAACTGCTATACCCCTAAAACAACTCAAAATGAAAAAAAGTTACATATATGTTTTTTAAAGTACAGGGAGACCCTTAAGAAAAAATGTCTCCAGTACTTTAACCTAATTTTAATTTCTGGGCAAGATGTCAACCCCAAAGTATTTTTTTTTTCAGTTTTAAAAAATTGTGTCTGAAAGTCTTATTCGGATTAGCGCAAAAAAGAATCAATGTAAAAACAGAAATTAACTGAAAAAAAGTCTGAAGTCTAAAAGATGACACCACTTTGAGTCCTTTGAAATATTTGAAAGAATTGCTTAACACAATATTGTTATGATGCATTTATGAATAAGTTCAAAAAAACACTCCGCAAATTACTTTTTGATATTCTGAATTCAGAAGGTGACTATATTGATACGCCCACCTTAATTACAAGGTTAAATTAACCAAAAATGTCGAAAAATAAATTCTTGCTTATTAGTTTCTACTTTTTCAATTTATTTGTTGAATTCTTTTTTCTTTAGTCTGTTATCTAGTCCTCATCCATATTACGATTTCTATTTCATTTATTTTTAAACTGTAAACTTTCCTTAGTTAATATCCTTATAGTCTTTATTTCTTATATTTTGCACGCATTGTCCCGCCTCGAATAGCCTTGCTAGCTGCCGGCAATACTTTTGTAATTTTATTTGTTTATTATTAAAGTTTTGTTGTTAATGTTGTTGTTGTTGTTGTTGTTGTATGAATAACACTTGGAAATTATCGTTTTTGTAAATTCTCTATTCGGTTTTGAATTCCTTAACGATAAAAGCTTTTAATGCTGTATAATTAAGGGCAAGAAATATATTTATTAATCTATCAAATTAAAACCAATAACAAATTTATTAACTTACTTATCAAATTTTATCGAATTTATCTATTAAACAACAAAATAACAAAAATAAAAAAAAATATAGAAAAAAAGGATAATTCAGCAACATTTCAAGACATTTCATGTCTAAGGTCTTCTGTAAGCTTTCCTTAGCAGGAACAGAAATGATATCATTCGGAATCCAACGGCTAGAGCCAATAAGGCATAAATGTCGATCATCACATTGTCCTAAAAAGAAAAAAAAATGTCAGTGACAATTCAGTTGGTTGCTTCTCCGAAAGGAAACTTTTTCTAAGTTCATTTCTTTTCGTCTCGCAGAGAATATCTCAAAGCTCCAAGTATCCCTACAACTGTAGGGATCTCCATTTTCTCCTCATTTTCGAACGAGCCATCTCTGAGTTGGCACAAGCCTTTGTTTCCAGGCGAGGCTAAGTAATAATAATAACAACAACAACAACAACAATAATAATAATAATAATAATAATAATAATAATGATAATGATAATGATAACGATGATGATAATGATAATGATAATGACAATGATAATGATAATAATAATACAACCAACTCTCTTGTAAGCGACCACATTTGGTGCACGGCAAAGTGGTCACTTACGGGGAGGTGGTCGTCTACGGAAAAAATAAAGAATATAAACTCAAACTGAGCTGACTAACATACAGCTAATTACATGAAGTTATTACCTTTCAAGCTAAAACGTAGTCAAATAGACAACTGGCAATGATGTTTCACATCAAATAGCGCTTGAAACTGTTGAACGTTTGCGCATAACATTTTACATCAATGTTACAATCCGCCATTTTAACTACAAATCCTATTACAGACATTGTTTTTGGAAGTCAGCTGCTATAGTCTGTCAGCACGCTTGGTCAACGCTATTAAAAACTGAAATGCCGTGACCTTCGAGCAATCGTTTTCTTACAACCATACGAGATCATACCGAGTGGTCGCTTATGGGAAAAAGAAAACAAAAGAATGTGTCAAATTTGCGCCCTAAAAGGTGGTCGTGGTCGTTTAAGAAATTTAAGTTGTGGTCGCTACTAGAGAGTTTTTGAAACAGACCACTACTACCACTACCAGTACTACAACTACCAGTACTACCACTACCACTACCACTACCACTACCACTACCACTACTACTACCACTACCACTACCACTACCACTACCACTACCAATACCACTACCACTACCACTACCACTACCAATACCACTACCACTACCACTACACTACTACTACCACTACCACTACCACTACCACTACTACTCACTACCACTACCACTACCACTTCCACTACCACTAAAATTACCACCCCCAACCCCCAAAATCTTAAAATTCCTTATAAAATATCAAAATTAACATTAAAACCATTTTTTCTACTTTATGTCAAAATTAAGCCTATTAAAAAAGGCCTTTTTTTTCGCAAATCCAACTGATAAAGTGCATGCCATTGATGTTTAAACATGCAAAAACCCCCCTTATTTTCGCAAGAAAGGGTTTGCACTTGGCCTTGGAAATGGCCTATTAAAGCGGTCCCCTTCCTTTTTTGTGGACTTCGGTCGACCACATCTTTAAATACAGTAACTACGTAGATCGCTATAAGGCCTGGTACCAACCTTATCTAACGCAAGGTAAGTGATAGCTTCATTCCCATTATTAATGCAAGGAACGCCGGTTCTGTTTTCTCGGGGTGTGCAAGCTGCGTAAGCAAGATAAAGAATATTTGACTAATGTACACCCTTGCGCTTAGATGGCACTCAGTCGTCATGATCAAAAGAGAGTATCACGTTCATCGTTATGACATTGTGTGTTTCCCTTCAAAGTACTTGACCGTCACCAGGTTATAACATGCCCTAAACTGGCATAGTGGCGTAATATGATTACATTGAAAACAATCAGTAAATTTAAAACTATAAACTGCATACCTATATTTTCATAACCGTCCCACTGGTTTACAACCAAGGTTTCAAATCCATATTTAAACCACGAAAGATACTGTAGCCATGACAACCAATCTGGTATTGTGCTGAAATGATATAACACATTCGCACATGAGTTTACCCCTTGATTCAGATTCTAAGCGCGAGGTAAGGGAGGCGAATTCTAGTCGGTGGCGCGTAATATCTCAACAGAGTACGATAATAATAATAATAATAATAATAATAATAATAATAATAATAATCAAGATGGCGGAGCAATTGTCAGGAAAGTGTATGCGTTTTGAAATACCTGACAATGTAAGCACTGTGTACTTTATCGTTTGTCGAGCAAAATGATAAGAATTAAGTAGATCTTTGTATGTTTCAAGTTAAGAGGGGGGCGTAAGGGTTTGCGGTATTGCGGTATTGGGTTATTTTTGGTGCGGTGTTGCGGTAATTTTTATTTCAAAGTACGGTATTGCGGTTTTCAGAGTCCAAGCGGTTTGCGGTAAGTTTAAATTTTACGTCGCGGTAGTCGGTGAAAAAATCATTGTGTCGCGGTGATCTGCTTCTTTTTCATGACAAGAGGATACAAATCCAAAAAGGTCTCCCTGGCTAGCCTGCGTGACCTGTGTGCACAGTCGGGGATTGTATTGCGCTAACAGTGCAGACAAATCGTATGGCTTCTAATTTCAGTTAATACTTGATATGATTAACGACATCAACTTTTTTATCCAATGATACGTAAACATGTCGCATTATTTATGACTTCATGGACCTTGTGGGACAAGTCAGCTTGGCTAACATCCTTTATACCAATCTTACCACCACTTTCGTGCCAGTCGCCAAACAATAGAGAGCGATCCAGAGGGTCAACTAAGTGATCAGTCAGATATTCTAGCAAATAGTGTGGTCAGTGAGATCGTTATAAATTGCGTAGTGTCGAAAGATAATCTATGACGATAGTGGGGTCTAAAAATTAATACTTGTCCTTCTCGTTGTGCATGCAGGAATATAGAATGTACTAGTATTCGTGTGTACGTACCCTACGTAGCATAGCGGCCCGGGGGTGGGGGAGGGGGGGGGGGGTACTTCCTGATAAGAGGCTAATGAAGATTTGCCGCTGGATGGGGTCGCATTTTCAGAGAGTTACTAGAATGGGTCGCACATTTTCTGCTTTTTTGGGGTAAGACAGTTCTTCATATTTACGGTTAGCAAAGGGACCAAAATGTTTGTATTGTAGATGAAAAGTAAAGTGTTCTTCATTCAATCTAAAACAAGGTCAATTCATAAAAATAGAAAGCGACGAAGTTGGGATCGCGAAAATTAAATATTTGTTCAAAAGTGACTAAGATGGGGTCTATAATTGGCCACAGAATAGACTGTAATGGGGTAAGGGCTGTGAGAGGCCAGCGGCACATACCAACCAAATATTAACCTAAGTACCCCCCCTCCCCCCCCCCTCTCCCAGGCATGGCTGTTTTACATGGTTTTGTCGGCAGCACCACTGTGAGCGGCGAAGCAGCTCCTGCCCCAATCTCCTCGGCCTCGCCCGCCTTATTATTTAGCGCGCCCAACCAAAACCGCCATGCTACGCAGGCTAGTGTGTACTGTGTGCCCTTCGAATCCAAAAGGTAGCCCGGGTCGTGGTTTTGAAACCCTCAACACAGAACCGAGTTAATTGTGAATCTGAAACAACCTCATAAGAGTCAACTGTTTTCCGTTCGTTTATGATCCAGGTCAGTTATATATAAAGTGATACTGGAAAACTCCTGTTGTATCATGTACGTAAACGTATACATGTAATGAACAAAGTTAAACGAGTGCGAGGCTCCTGTTATCGTATACTTGACATCGACGCACCTTGATTTGGAAACACTGACATAAGAGTATTATTTCTATTTGAAAGGAGGATTTGTAACATTGACAACGCCAACTTTTTCCCATTTGTAACTGCGGTTTCGGTATGTGGCTAAATTTTAATGCGGTATTGCGGTATTCTCGCGCTACCACGTGCGGTATTGCGGTATTCGTATACCCCTTACGCCCCCCTCAGTTAAAGAGTCATTTTGCAAACGGAAGACTAGCCACTGAATTTCCACACGGAAAAGGAATTCCCTAGCTTAATTCTCGATGTAGTGCAGGAGGGATTCTGTGCTAAGCTTTTACTGTCCAGCAGTATGGAAGCTTCTTGTTGAGTATTAGACATGATCGATAAATCGCCTAAACCTTTTAAGAGAAGCAAATAACGCCCTGGCAATATGCAGAATGTTTATCACTTTAACCTATAACCTTGTGGTTAAGAAGACTCGTTGGACTTTAAAGGTCACTATACAAAGTTAAAGGCTTGCATTGTTTATATAGTGCAAAGTGCACTTAGCTTATCAAGCTAGTTTACAGGCACTCCACTCAACTACTTAGAAGCAAATAATTCAAATATAACATAACAGGATTAAGACCCCCAATTGGCAGGAGGCAACCAGTTGGCTATTTACAAGTGTGGCCGAGGACTGAACTCGGGATGACCGAGAACAAATCCAGCAAGTCGCCAGAGGGGGACTCGAACCCGGGGCCGCCGGATTGTGAGTCCGACGCGCAGACAACTAGGTCACGCTGTCGCCCTGTTTCGAATCCTATTGGGAATACGCCATCATTCCGCTACATTTGGTCTGAACAAACTACATTTTGTATCTGATCAAACGACGACCCTCATCTCGACACCGTTCATCTGACCGCGCTCTCAGATAAAAACATCCAAACCACAGCGATATGACACTTACTTGTTTTTAACGTAGAATCCGCCAATAAGTAACAGAGGTAGAAGTAACGGGGCACTGATGGCAGAGGCGGCTGGTACAGACGGTGCGACTGTGGATACGATATACCCTATAACAGGAAGAAAATACAAATTCATGGTGAAACATATCTTCTGGAAAGAACACGTTACAAATTGCGAACTATATGGTAGTTTGGAAAGGATACCCACTGCTATCAGACCGTACGGAATGGAAGAATTGCACTATCCTGGCATGTTTTTCGTGTTGGGCAGCGCATCAGCTGATCACAGCATGGGTCCCACGATATTGGAGGGGTGCAAGAGGACGTCCGACAACAAGACACACATGGGGGATTGTTGTAATTACCATCGAGAGCTTAAAATGATTTTGCTGTTTCGCAACACTGGTTGTAAAATGTCGTGGATAATCATTTTTTATGCTTGAATATTAAACATAAGCCAAACGTAGTTGCATACAGTCGCTACAGAATCAGTATGAACAACACAAATCTGTTGAGCGGTACCATAGAGATAAAACATACCATAGGACACAGCTACTACGCTGACCAAAGCAAGGATCCCGTATGCATAGATGAACCTTAGTACGTTATCTCGCAAGCCTGAAAATATCAGATAAAAAAACTTTAGATAACTGAACAAAAGATAGGGGAAAACAAGGCAAAAGTTGTATAACACCTAGTTATCGATTTACTCGAAAGGCGATGAAACTTAATATTTAGTTAAAGATGCTGACCTAACAGATGAAAGTTTAGCTCTCGCCGCCATTGTAGAGTCAGCTTTAAATATCTTTTAGAAAGCGTAAATAAAGTTTTTAAAGCATCGGGAATAAAACTCCGCCGCAATGATTATTCCTGATAAACGTGAGGCCGGTTTCGATAGATCACCTTAAAACAAGCGAGGATTATGAAATCCCCCCGAAAAATAAACGTGTAAGTTAAATGTTGTTTGGAAGTCTTGTAAAACGTAGGCATTTACTCCTCTTAAACCTTCTTTCTATAGTGAAAACAATGGTCTGGCGGTTGACCGTTTTTTTCCCGTAGGAAGGACATGTACAAACATTGCTGTGATAATTATTGCATAGTTGAATATCTAAGAAATGAAACTAAACCTTTTTAACACACTTTTTACTATAGATGCGGTTACACTGGCCCTTTTACCCAAGGGCAAATGGGTTAAAGTATATAACATTTACCGAGAAAATTAATGTTTATCAAAGTTATGTTTGTCTCTGCAAATATTAACACAGCTCCTTGCAATCAAAATAAAACGTTTACTTGCAAATTAGACAAACATGCTTGCTATTGATATAACTTAACATCTTAGTGCAAGTCGTGCCTGCCGAGGTTCAGTTGAACCCCATCACAGACTCAATATGATTGTGACTACGGACACATGAACATCAACTGTGGTATATGATTTATAAAAGTCTTTGTTTTGTACCTAATTGTTTTTGCTTGTTTGTTTTTTTTTGTTGTTGCTATTCCTGTTGTTGTTTTTATTGCTGGGGTCTATTTAGACCCCACTAGGTAAATGAGAGCTAAGTTTAACACAGTCCTCTGGAATTTAAAAATTATAATTAACATATTGCATTTAAAGCGGCTTTACATGGAGACAAATTCCTTAAATCTCAAAAATATTGTTCAACCATGTTTCCCATGGTAATTCTCGATCATCACCTGGAGTCTGATTGGATCGCGTTTGGTGTAGATGAGGTTTAAAAGGTTAAAAATGGTCGGCAACGTTCCATTATTTATGTCAGTCTTCAATGTTTACAAGGACGTTTACCTGCGCCCCTTGGGCAGTTTATCACCGTTTGACCGCAAACATGAAAGTAATCAAAACCCAGAACGAACCCAACCCGAGCTATTTCTCAGAGGGGATATGGAGCCTTGGAGAAAAGGTCTAGTGTAACCGCACCAGAAGCCCATGATTGGCTCCTCACAGCATTTAATATATCTTACTTACCGATCATCCAGTAGGCGATTGCAATCAAAAGAAGGGGATTGAATAAAAAAAGAGGTGCCTAGAAATTGCAAAAAAGGTTAGTTTCTGCTAAAAAAAAAAATAAATAAATAAAAAATAAAATAAAATAAAATAAAAAGTTATCAAAACAGGACTCATTATAAGGGTCGTCGCCTCTTTCATTGCTTTAGGTTTTACATAAATTGCATCGATAACAACGCTTTACACTAACACTCACCTCAGCAAAAGTCTTTGACAAAAAGTAAACGTCTGTCCGATACATGCCATTATGGTGCTCTCGTAAAAACACAGAAAGTTCGACGGGAAAAGTCTAACAATAGTAAAGAAAAAGTTTATCAAAATGCAATCCACATTAAGGTGGCTCGATCCAGTATTTTTGTAGGCGCACCTTCCACCTTTGGACCTTTTACAACTTACTGACAGCTTGATCTTTATTGTAAACTCTATTATAACACATGGATTACACATTATCATGATATTAGTTTTTTTTTTTCTTGCAATCGAAATTAATATCACGTGACTATGACGAACTCACAATGACCAGCTCTCCAGTCGGCTTGATTAGCTTAATGGACAGGGCGTTGTGTCAGGTCATTGCAAATGTCAGGATTTGATTCCCAGTCAAGCCTGAATTTTTTCAGGTTCTTTGTCAACCGCTTAGGTTGTTCAGTCAACTGTGAGGATCATGTTCACTTTCATATCTTTATCCGCAGTTAAGTAACATTGATTTCATATATTTCAATTTGATGACGTCACAGTTGTCACGGCTTATGAATATCAACATGTTTTGATAACTTCTTATGATGGCCAGTTGATAAAATTAAACTAGACAGAGGCATATGACGATTAAGGTAAATTTTCCAACACTTACGAAGATGACAGATGCAACGTTGTTAAACGTAACAGACGTGAGAAGAAAGAAAATCGCTCCAGATATATTCTGGATACCAGCTTGATCCACCTTTGTTTGGAAGTAAATTATTCCGGCTACGAGACCTACGAACTACACAAGATAGTAGGCAGATATCAGTCATAGCACAGGCTATTAATGTGAAATACCAGGGGCACCCACCGACTGTTTTCTGTATACATTCATAAATTATTTAAGGGATCATAAGAAATAAACGATGCAAATAATACCCTAAAAAGGAAGTTTAAGAGGTTGACCCTATGTAAATAAACTTCCAAAAATAAAAATTAAAAATATATGCTTATGAATAAAATCTAAGATGGATAAAAACCTAAGAAATACGCATGTACGATTTAAGAGCTATTTTAAAACGTCTTAAATTTCCTATCTCAACAACATTGGCGGGCAGGTCATTCCATTCACGAATAATTTTAACAAAGAAAGAGTATTTATAACAATTGCAGTTAGCCGATTTAACTTGCAGTTTGTAGTTGTGATTGGACCTGGTACGTTTTGAAGCGAACTCAAAAAAATCGGAAAAACAAAGGCTATTCAATCCGAATACAAGTTTATAGCATTCAATCAAAGAAAAATATAGCCTTCTATCAGTCATCTGCGACCACCGAAACATTTCGCAGCGATCTTCGTATGACATCTCTCCTCTTCTCTGAACTTTCTCTAAGAGAACAATATTCTTAACTAGGTAAGGGTACCATACAGGGGAAGCGTACTCGAGGATTGGTCTCACAAGAGCCTTGTACAGTGTGGAAAAGATTTCCTTGTTTACAGAACCGATTGTGCGCTTGATTAGACCACGAACTTTATTGGCCTTATTGACAAACTCAACAACGTGTAAATACCACGAGAGGTCATGCGAGATTGTGATGCCGAGGTTCTTTACAGAACTCACTGAACTTAGACGTTCTCCACGCGGGACGAGGGAGTAATGTGGGACAGATTTATCACGACTATGTGTAACTCGCATAATTTCACATTTCTTCGCATTGAAGTTTAACTGCCAGACCTCAGGCCAATTTCTAAGGTGGAATAAGTCGGACCTGAAGGATGCTTGTGTCTCTAGCTATGTCGGAGATCTCTCTGTAAACCTTGGTATCATCTGCATACAGTTTAACCGTTGATGAAATACCTGACGAGATGTCATTCACGTATAAAATGAATAAGACGGGTCCGAGGATTGTTCCTTGGGGTACTCCAGATAAAAATGGAGACCAGGACGAGCAAGTACCACGCAGGACGACGAAACCACTGGAGAGCACTGCCGTCGATCCCGTGACGCTCAAGCTTGAAAAGAAGACGCTCATGCGGTACGCTGTCAAACGCCTTGGAAAAATCCAAAAAGGCGATGTCAGTTGGCTTTCTGTTGTTGCGTGATTTCGCCCACTCGTCGTAACAAGAAAGAAGCTCCGAAAGCGTTGATCGGCCCTCCATGTAAGCAAACTGGTTCGGGTTTAGCATATTTATGTTTCGCCAAAAATCCATCACTCGAGACTTAACGATTTTCTCCGCGATCTTGCTGTACAAGATCTGTTGGGAGAAGCACATTATTTCCTAGAATTTTCTTCTGGTTGATGACGGCTAAAGATTTCTAGATGCATGTTCCATTCGTGTACAATTTTCGAAGCTTATCAAATGAATTCTCTATAATTTTCTGATGTTAAATTTTCATATTTTTATTTTACTACCCACGTCACTCTATTTTTCGCAGAAAAAGGAACCCCAAAATTTTCGTATAGGAGAGAGGGATAAAAAGAAATCTGACTTTCTTAAAACGTTAAATTGTACCTAAAATTTTCGGAAAAATAATACTGAAGCCCTTGTAATTTCGAAAAGACTTAAGTTTCCCGAGGATGACTGATCAGATAATTAAATTTGTAGCGCCGCTTATAATGCATTTCTAGAGATCTAAAAGTACTTTGGATAGCCTAAAAAGTGTTTTAAACGTATTTTGGAGGAAACTGTCCTTGGGTGCCCCTGAAAAATCAATTAGGCTTTTACCTATACGAATATTTGTTAAAGGGGCCAATATGTCATGCTATTTGCTGTCTTCTTAGAAAGACAAAACTTGTCTTCGCATCAGTTTAATTCAAAAAATTAATAATGGTGCAGTTTTGTTATTGAAGACTATATTTAGACATTGAAATTGTTTTCTGTCGTCTGTTTCTACGAACGGCAAGGATGTATGTGGATTGAAACTAGAAAAGGTTGGGCCAACGTTTTCAAGTTTTAATGCTATACCCGCGAAAATCAACAGAAAAGTTTTTATGGCTATGGCTAGTGCCCCCTGATAATATTTGTTTGATATTGTTGGGGCAACTTTACCACTGACTTTTACTCTGATGCTGAAAACCGCACAGATTGTCGAGAGCCGACATTTATTACCACCAACATTGTTACAGCTAGAAGATCACAGTCAGCCTGTTTTATTAAGAGGACGAAAAATGAACTGCTGGTTGGAAGTCTTTTGCCTGAATTGAGAACAAGTTTCGATCAGTGAACTGTTCGAACCCAGGAGTCATTTCATACGTAGGTGGAGCATGATCGTCCGGGTGATCGTAGTCCGTAATAGGAACGTCTGACGTTTCAACAACCTGTGCGGTAGTCAGTTCAGAGTCTGTTGCCCATATGACAGAAAAAACATAGATCTCAACTATTTAGATATGATATCAGTGGCTCTTACTATGCTCTGATAGAGTCGGACTCTAAAGATAACGACATCTCGATTAAAGGTGAGCCAGGATCGCCAGAAAACAGAACGAAACTGTTTGATCCAGGACACTTTGTACCTGAGATAGAAAAGTCAATATTATGGGTGAGTAGTGCATGCAAAAGTTGGGTAATAAAGCCTTTTGCGACCGTCATAAAGAGGGGGAGACAACAGAAAAACGTCTCATTTAAAGTTGTTATCGCAATAATTGCAATTTCCTTAACCTGGCAAATGTCAGCGAATTTTCGAAGACCTGCACTAGTAAGACGCTGCTTTGAAAAACAAACAAAAAAATAAACAAACAAACAAAAAACAGAAAGTCAAATTATTTGTCCCGCGTTAAATTAAAAAAAAAAAAAAAAACGTTGTACTAGGAAATTTCATATGAAGCTGTGAAGAACAGACGAAGGAATGCATTACTATAAGTGCTCGTTCGTCTTGCTCCTTGTCGTAATTGTCTAAACTCTCTATCAGTTCAGATTTTACTGTCTGTTAAGATTATTAATTTCGACAAACGAACTGACGCAATTTTAGCTTGATGGAATCAACGATCATTTGTAAACGTGGAACCGAAACATGTTGATGGAAGCGTGTTAGAGCGCAGATTTTTCGTTAAGGTTGCAAGAGATCCTTCGGCAATATGACCCTTTACAACTGAAGTTAGGCAGCTAATCTCTGAATTACCATTGAGCGGCCGTTTTCACACTAGAGACGGATTATCCGTCTGAGACGGATGGCTCCATCTTCAAAATCCGTTAAAATTGACGGGGAAACAGATAGATAAAGTCAGGTGGCTTGTCCATCCAATATTAAGAGCGTTCCATTTTTCAAATTAAGACGACTGTTATCTGTCTGACGCGAATTATCCAAAGGATAACCCGTCTCAGACGGATATTCCGTATCTAGTATGAATGCAGCCAATGAGAAATAACAGATCAGAATAGTTGACTTCAATGGAAATAAAAGTAACGGTGTAATATTCTTACGGCGAACGACGAACAGCAACGTCTTCATCTTTAAAGGAATCCTGAAAAAACATGTAATTCAACGACAGGCGATTGTTAGCTTATCCGGAGTCCGCTCCTTGATGTCGAAAATGCGCATGAGTACAATGAGACAACGGGTAGTCGACATAGCAATTGACATATTGGTGTCTTAATAACCTGGAAAGGATTGTTAAATTAAAAGGGGACAACATCAACGATCCAAAATCTATGAGAAGGGTCCAGTCCAAAAACCGCAATATCTTTTCAGACTAGGGTTTGTTTGTCAGACAGTTTGAACCTGCATTAGAGCCCCAGAGATAAACTTTTGGCTTCAGAAATAATAAACATATGAAGTTTTTCTATGACGTTCATAGAATGAGATGCGTCACTCTAGTACCAGTGGTTAGTCCATCATCCACCTCTCTGCCGTGCACTTTCATGATTACGGCCACTTTTATCGCTGAATAGAAATTTGTACCTCTCAGCCAATATATTAAGCTACTTCGGTTAAATGGCAGCATTTTCAATTTTTTGAGGTCCCAAAACTGTTTCATTTTTGCTAGAGATTATATTTCGCGCGTCATGTTAGGTAGTAACTAACCTGTCTCTCGGGTTCCTCTGCGTCAGCTGTTTGACTTGCCTCCTTTGCACTATACGCATCACATATGTCCTATAGAAATCACACGTTATGGGAATAATGTACCTGCTTTACGTCAGATGTTGTCAAAACATATTACACAATTTCCAGCAAAAAAAGCAACAACAACAACTACGGAAAGATGTAGACAAGTATGTTTTCGTTTAACCCTTCAAAGACTCTATGATATTCTCAAAATCGGATCCAGGGCACGGTTGCTTAATAACAATTTAGATTAATTAAAATGATTTAGCAGGATTTTTTTGCACTATTTTTCTTGAATTCTCTGTAACGGATTTCTTTGTTCTCTTTAAGTGTTAATAAACTCTATAGTCCGAGTGCAGAGGGTTAATCGATATCTGTGATAATCCTCTAGATCAATGGGAGCGGTTGCAGTTAATCTTTAACTTTTTGGAACCAGACCCCAGCTAGAAAGGACAGTTGTCTCCGTTTTAACTACATACAACAGTGTGTCTCACCTGGACTCTTTGTTGGCAGTTTTGCTCGTCGCCAGGAACAATTGCCAAAGTATGAACAAAGTGATCAGCGGGATTAAAGTTGATAGGACAAGGATATCCTAAGCTGTTAAAAAATACAGAGGAAATTCATAAGCTATAAAACATGCTCACCGCGGCATCAGTGACCGTATGATTTTCTGCAAAGGAGTTCTGGTTCCGGTTTTTTAAGCGCTGGATAGCGCTATTCACCGGATAAATCAC